ATTAACACAATATACATGTGTTAAACAAATAAATACAATATGATATAATTATGTGAAAAATAGTCAATAAATAATAAGAAGCAAAACTATTGTTTTTATTTTATTCATGATTTCTACCTAACCAAGTTCTTCCTAATAGTTGTTCTTTAAAATCGCACCGAATAATATGAATTAGTTGTAATATTAATTTACTTCATACTGAGTTCATACTAAGTTCATAGGTTGACCTATGTTTCAGTGAATATTAAACATAACCTCAAAAAAATTTTAGTTTTCCTAATAATTTAAGTTTTCAGAAGTGTCCGTCAATAATCTTTGTTTTTACAGTCATTTACTTGCGATTTCGAACCTAGAAAATAATATTTCATGATTGTTGGTTCTTAGGCTAACTATGTATGGACGCAGAACAATGTCCTTTATTTATTTATTGATAATCCGTAACAGTTACAATAAAATAAGCTACAAGCAAGAAGCTCGATGTAAATGTAAGGTTTGCATGTATAGTCAAAACAAAAATATTTTTTGTATAAATATTTCAAAGCTCAGTTTATTTTGCTCTTGTATTGTTCTAAGCATTAAAACGGCAGGCAATCTGACATAATCATATATCAAAAAACTTCTTATATCATTAAATTCTTGATGAGAAATACGATTGTATGATTGCGCCTGGGCTGTTGAGACTGTTAGTGAACCTGGGATAGGCTCGGCAGTGCTAGTAGCCTCAGAAGGCATTCCTATTAAAGAGATAGAATGCTCGATATGAAATCTGAAACATGGAAAAGCTGTGGGAATTGACATGGTTTATGCTGAGATAAACAAAATGGGTGGTGTTTACGTTAAGGGTGCTTTCTGGTTTTTATGCACTTTGCTGGTAGATTGGTAGGGTTCAACGGAATGGAAGCGCGCAATCATCATTCTCTTGTATAAAAGCTAGGGTTTGCGCCAAGACTGCGCGAACTACAACGCCATTAGTTTGATCATCTTAGCAGTCTAAGTTGTACGAGAAAATAAATGAAAGGAAAACGAGGGTGAAAACTGATGAAATGCTGTGGAAGGCACAGGTGTGATTCCAGAAAGGAAGGGAAACATTGATCAAGCTCTCTCGGAGAAGTCTCCACGATATTGCGGAGCAAAACAGCTTGATCTGGCTCTGGACCGGAAGGTTTTCTGCTGTTTTGTGGAACTTGAGAAAACATTTGACTGAGTTATGCGATAGGATCTCTGCAATGTACTGCTAAGATATGGGATTGATGGTACCCTGTTGCGTGCTGTGCAATCACCTTATGAAGATTGTACAACATACATACGGCAGCTTGTCGTCCGGGAGGCCTACCGCATCGGAATTTCTATGGCTATATCTATAGCTTATCATTTCATTTTGTTTTTTCTGACTGTCGTCGCCCAAGGTTTTTAATGCCTCACGCTTCATTTTTCTTTTGCATTGGTAATAAATATATAAAAAAAATTAGCGTGAGCTGCTGTTCATCATACTCATATATTTCGACAACTGTCTATAAAGGTTAAGGTGGGGTTGCGAATTGGTGATCCAGTTATTAACAGCTTGCTCTACGTTGATGACGCCGTGGGAGTTGCAAATAATGCAGTTGATCTGCAGACGCCGATCACAGTAATGAAAGATGATTGTATGAAAAATGGCCAACAACTGAATGCAAAGAAAACGAAGATTATAATTTTAAAAGACAGAAACCCAGTTCATATTTGTTATGAAATTTAAACAACAAACGTTATGGTGGTGTTTAGCTGCCAAAGCATGCTTCAAATAAGGCATAAAAAATATGGGGATATAATAACAAATACATAAGACTCAAAATTAAAATCAGAGCAAAAAACCTAACTTATACTGAAACATAATTAAATGAAAAATAATAAACATATGTAACACTCAGACCAATTAGGCTATCCCAAAAGTAAGGTTTTGTTTTGTTATGGGATACTAGGGCACGGTAATATTATCTATACAGTATTGTAACTCCGCCCTGTCCTTGAAAATAAATGCCTACACCGAGCGCTGCGTTGGCACGCGGTAGGGCCGCCAGCCTACAGTATTTTATGTAGTTTTGTTTTTAACGCGAGTGTAGGTAGATTACTTGTTTGTCTCTTTTTTTATCGTAACCACTTATTTATATATTATTCTAGATATTTTGCCCGATGGAAAAACCGAAATACCCAAATATTAGAAGCAAATAACGTACTAGTAGATAGGTATATAAAAAATATTCTATAAAGGTAAGACACCTTTCCAATATTTCAGGTAAGTTAAAAAATGATATCTCTGGGTGTGTTATTGAAGAGTTCAAGCAACCAAAAACAGCAATTGTCCTGTTGTACGTTATTGATCGTCGTTTGTTCTTTTCCATACTAAATTATGTAGGTATCTACTTAATTAAATCAAATATTTACAATACAAAACGCACGTTTAAGCACGGCTAACTGCATAAAAAACAATTCAGACCGTTCGGTCGTCGTTGCGGCGCGGCGGCGCATTCGCGACTGGGTGCCCGCCGAGAGCACATCGAACTCGAGTGGCGTAGGTATGACTCGCTTTCCGACCATTTGTATGAAGATAGAATACTGTATGATATTATTACCGTGACTAGGGTAACAAATTGTACATGTAGAGATGTGAAAAATAGTTTAGTAAAAGTATTTCAATACAAAATGCCAATGCATGGTTGTTAGGACTATTTCAAATAGAAATACGAAATAGTTTTAAATAAAAGTATTTAAATGCAAAATACGTATTTTCAAAATAGGTTTTGAAAATAAAATACCTTGTTGTGCATAAGCACAAAATAAGTGCTAAGTGTATATTTAACTGATTTTAAAACTAGTATTTGTTCAAAGAGTTCATCTTTCATGTTCCGCCTCATAATCATTCCACCAAAAGAATCCCATAAGATAATAGCATAATAACACATATTTGACTTTATTTTAAATGAAATAATGCATATTTTTTGCAGATTACACAAAATAAAATTACATATTACTATTTACATATTATTATTATTTTATTTATTATTATTTTCTAATTCACATTACTATTATATAATATATCCATTATCCAAAATGGTCATTATCCAAAAATGTTCTTTCTAACTTTAAAATGAATACGAAGGAGGTAGCATTTAAACAATTCCCTAAAACGAAGGAGATTTTGATAGCTGCTAACCCAAATTTCACACCCACGCCCTCATGTCAGTCACTTGCCATAAAAGTCTTGTAAGACTGAAGTTGACAATGATAACACTACTATCACGATCAGTACCCCTAGCACAAACCAATATCAAATTCGTATTGTTTGTGAGTCCGAAATGTCATTGTCAAATGTGTACTGATTTTTAGTTCCCGTTACGTACTTTGGGGTGCAGCTGTTCAAGTTTCCATACAAAATTTGACATTGACATTTCCGTTTGCAAATTATTCGAATTCAATAATGGTTCATGCTAGGGGTACAGTGCGTTCATAAATAAGGTACCTAATCTTGGATTTAAGAATGAAAAATAGGAAAACTGAATTACAAATATAACAAAACTATTTTGCATTTTATAAATACTAAATATTTATAAAGTATAAAATAAAAATAGGTATTTTGCATTTCCAATGTATGTATTTTAAATAATTCACATCTCTGAATACATGTAAGTATTTATTTATCAAGTAGTCACGGCCCGATCAGGGCGCACTGCCCACGGGACTAAAAGCCATTTTTTGTGATAGTTAGATCCTACTTTTGTATGAAGAAGTTTAACCATAGATTAACTTCGCGAAATGACCTATCTGTAGAGGCTTAAAGTTTTAAATAGCCCGGATAAATACTGCATGGGGACCCCAAGAAGTTAATACAATAAACATCCAGGACGGAATCCTAACAGAATTACTCAAACAAATGAGCTTAGTCACCACCCAGATTCAGGTTTTTTGCTGCTAATTAGCAGCGAAAAAGGGAGGATTAAGCCATAGGACTAGGTAAATACAAAAATAAAAAAAATGATTACTCTAAATATAATTTGAAACTGATGATGTAAAAATAATTTTATATTTATTTAATAATATTATCAATGATGTTTAAATGTCAATGTCAGTGGTTATCAGACTTATTGCTGAACCATAAGTTCAGGACATAAAAAATTAATTACAAATTTGATTAGAAGTAATATCATAATTATTGTGTTACTTTTAGTATTGATAGATTAATATATCTGTTTGTGTTAAGACACAGGTTTGGTAGTCAAAGATCATACAAGGTAGTAAAAAGGTATTGAATACCTTATTTAGTTATACCAGTCCCTAGGAATTTTCATAATTTATTTTTATGATAATTATTGTTTCTAGGACTTCTTTCCGAGTCTGATTCCCTAATGAAAATATTTCACTCAGGTTGTCTACTTTTATGTTAACCTTAGGGTTTGTTATGGTTTTAGTTTTTGCAGTGCTCATGGTCAAACTTACTCTTTCTGATTCAGGCTGGACTTCCCCCTATTTGTCATTTAGAGGGCACCAACATATTAAAGAAAAAAAAACTATCCCGAATTTCACTCAAATGTCTGAGGTTTTCCTCTCAAATGTATGAAAGTGTTGTTGTTGAAGGATATGTTAAAATTTCTATGGACATTTGTTAAGTAAAACACAAGAACAAACATAAAACTTCGTAAAATTTTGTACATGTGATTGAAAAAATAGCAATCACGAAAATAACATATCTATGTCCAGGGTTGATTGGACTGTAAAATTTAGACAAAAATCGTCCTTGATAAGATTGCCATAATGTATTTCGATATTATTGTTGCTTGGAGTATACTATACACAATTTTTTTCACATCAAAAACTAATTTCAAGGCAACAAAAGCTTCATTTTGCAAAAAAATAACAAATTGTTTACAGTTGTTCAGAAAAGGATTTTACGTTACGGGAGCAATAGACCATATTAATGAGTACTACTACTAAAATGGGCAAACAAACTCAATGAAAATGTATCTTACCATTATTTTCTTGAATTTTGTCAGTTGCAGCGGTGCTTCCTGTTTGTGTCATGCCCTTAGACAATTCGTCCATCTTGCCGTACATACGTTCGTTACATCAATCATTAAAATCACAACACAAATTTCAATAAACTAACGACACAACATAACAGGTCACATTCCAGTTTAATTGAATTTCAGTCTTTGTCGGATAAATCTAATTTTATCCATTTCAAACACATTTCTAAAATTTCTAGCTGCACAAATCCAACAAGCAAATTGAAGTCTCTACGACCATAAACATTATAGAAATAAAGAATAAATAACATTATTAATAATGCTGTGTACCAACCCTTGGAAAAATAAACCAAAGAGAAACAGAAAGCCATTGGAACCGATTCTGGCATGCATCTCTAAAGCCGGAAATATATTTGTCTGACCTGTTGTGTCATGACTAGGTAGGTATGAGTACGGTGTAGACGTGTCATGATTCATGACACACAGATATGATTCTAAATGTATGAAAACGAACCTATCCGACGCGCCAAGACTCATGACATACCAGACAAATATATTTTCGGCTTTAGACCAAAATTGTACTAATACCTACACTCTCTCCATAGAGTATACTAGACTCTCTCATTCTAGAAAACATTTCCATTAATTAAAAATTAATTCTTGTACAAATGCCTTTAAACCTAAAATATTAAAATCCTTCATTGTTTGGATGACTGACAGTCTTAGTGTTTTTAAGGAATAGACATATAAAGATTGACGAAGCGAGGAAAAGAGATATCATGCCCTCATGACAATCCTACAAGGTAAAAGAGATACAACATGAAGACCTTTGGCCCAATAAAATAATAGCTAACAGCATTCTATCAAGCCGTACTGTGATAAAGATTCTTATGAAATTCTTTAAAACTTAGAAAAATAATGTGTTTATACAACTCAGTTTGTGTTATGGTATCCTGTGTTTTAAACACATCTTGCGTAACAACACTATCGTCTATCATTTACAACTTTGCACTCAAATACTCACAATTAAACACAGATAAACACACATGCACACAATTAAATTTTTTGAATAATTGCGATAGTTACTCTATCTTACATCCCCTATGATTCACGGTGTTTCTTAAAAAAAATATTCATCCAAAAATAGTTTCGCTTTCAGTTTATTTAGATTAAGTAAGTATAACATAATACATAATGTAAATATTAAAATATAAGAAGAAGAAATGAAAAAAAGAAAGAAATTTCAGATTGAAATAAGCTGTGCCCTTGTATTACTATATACCTTATTTTGTAATCTCCGTCTATTTTTATTTGTGTGTACAAAATGTATCAATAAATAAATAAATGTATTACAAAGTGCACGTACATACTATCGATAAACTACTAACCGATAACCTAAATAAAAAAAAACACCTAAGTATTTTTACCGCCGCTTCGCTACTGAGCCCGTTCGGATTCAAAGGGGCTAATGACAAGGAGATACGCTTTTACCAAAATTGTTTACTTTGGTGCTAGAGGACATATTATGAAGCCTGTCCCTGTAGCATGAGCACTACATTATACATTTTATCACGTGTTTTATCGTGTCTTACTGTCAAATTCCATAGAAATTTGACAATTGAGCGTGATAAAAACGTGCTATATATCATATCGCGCTGCTCATGCTAGGGGGGCGGAACTGGGAAGACTGCGGCTTGATTAAACTTGGTTGTCGCATAAGTACTTTACGTTTGTCGATGACATCGTTTTATTAACATTGAATTTCCTCTGGGTCATTTACCCAGAGGAACTTCAATGTATGATTAAAGAACTCAACGATACTTCCGTCCGATGCGGCCTGGAAATGAACATATATAAAACGGAGTTTATAACCAATACAAATTCCAACGCAGTCATTAAAGTTAATCACACTACGATCGAAAAAGTGGATAAACACGTATATTTGGAGCAGGTGATAGTGACTGGGAAGAAGAACTAAAGAAATGAAATCAACAGACGCTTCCGATTAACCCGGGCAGGATGTTCTCGGGTTTGCCTTCAAAATGAATTTCAAGGCCTAACAGAAAGCGCGCTTATTTGACCAATATATTCTGCCAGTTCTCACTTACAGTGATGAAACCTGGGTCTCCATAAGTTGAGCGTGCGTGACCCAGCGGGCGCTTGAGTGAAAACTGGTCGGAGTCGAAGTCACATTGAGGGACCTTAAAACTAATGAGTGGCTGAGACAACAGAGTAAGGTCACTGATGTTATCGACCTCGAAACTAGACTGAAATGGTAATGTGCGGGTCACGTGGCACGCAAGGCTGATTCGTGGGGCAAACGGCTCCTAGAGCGACGACCATGGGGTCAGAAACATCCCCTAGGATGACCTTAGATGCGTTGGACGAAAGAACAACTTAAAAGAACAGCAGGGAAAAATTGGCTTCAGGTCGCCCAAAATCGTGACTAGTGGCGTAATTTGAAGGAGGCCTACACACAAAGGGTTGAGATAGGCTGAAAGTGAGAGAAAGAACATACTTAAAACACCCATTTCTTGGACATATAAAAATGGCATTTTGAAAAGCACGTCTGCTTGATTTCCGTATTCTTTGATTTGTACGATAGTGCGTACAACAAAGTTGGGCCAGAGCCGGATAGATAGACTGGCTGAGTACTGCGCTTAAAGATGGATAATGCGTAGAGGGTTTTACATCAAAATTCATCAAAGAAAAATAAAAAAAACTGTCATTATGACAGTGACGCTGTCAGGTATTTGGCATCATTCCATCCATTTCCCTTTGTCAACTTGTGATTGTGTGAAACAATTTTTGTCTGCACACACAACAGTCAGTGGAAACTTTTATACTAATTAAATTCATTCCTGTATCTTGAGTGTGTATCTTTGGCCCTTCATTACTTTTCAAGTGTGTATCAGAGGCTTGTCTGAAAAAGATAAGATAAATCTGATATAAACATTTACATTATGATAAAACATCACGATGGAGTAAATCAACAGTAAATAAAAACTAAACTATTTACGAGTTTCCTATTAGCTCTTGGCAGGATGGAACGTTTTGGTCTCACACATATATTGTACGAGCCAGATAAATATAATCCGGATACTTTGGACCTGTTAGTCGATGAAGAAGCAAGGGAATATTGGCTAAATACTTGTGAAAAACTTGTTGAGAAATATGTGAATTTCGCGCTAGCAAACACTGAAGACCCAACTGTAGAAATAAGAGCATTAAAATTTAAAACATGCTACGTAGAAGCATTGAAAGAACTTAGAGTTAATCCACTGTAAGTTTAAAAGTACACAGGCGTTAAAAAAGTATATTTAAAAAATAATAATGTGTTTATAATTTTTATTTATTAAGCATGTAAAATAATGTGTTTGGTTTATTTTTAGTGCACATGGGCAATTGACTATACGCCTTCTTCTTGATGTCAACGAAACCTGCCTTCGTTCTCAGGGGTTTTTTGATTTATGGAAACAACAGAAAAAGTACGAAAATGAGGGTGCATTGGCGGCTCTTAGTTCACGGTTAGCAGAAATTGACGCCTTGACTGATGATAGACAGCGATGGACAGAATTATCTAGAGGAGTTCTAGCAGGTATTTGTTTTTTTTAACAGTAGCTGCATTTGTTGCCATCACTATTTTTTGAAAATGGATTAGTTTTTATATGCGAAATAAAGAAGTTTTACAGAAATATTTTTAAGCTTCTTAACTATCAAGCTAAAAAATATATTTTAACTTGGTGGCAAGCCAATCTTTTAGGTCTACTTCAAGTCCATAAGAACTGCATAGCCCTAAAGATCAGAAACAATTCCATGCTTAGAATGGAAAATAATGAATTTTACATATTTGACTTTTATTTCACAAATTAATTATTAGAAACTTGATCTGTGTTTATCATATGATAGTATTTTTGATTACTAAACAGGTAATATGTTTGACTGGGGAGCTCAAGCTGTCACTGATATATTAGATTGTGGTCTTTATGAAGCATTAGAAAAAATTCAAAAAAGGCCATGGCTCTTTGATGGTTTGGAGAAATGGCTTGAAAAGCTGGAGGTAATAAAACAATAGATTGAAATTTAGAAGTTACACCTTCATCTTTTTTTACAATTGCATAGGAAAATAAACAGGATGCTGAGTTTTTGTAAATCTTGGCTATGAGCCAGGTATGGGCATTCTTTAGAGTAGCCAAGTTTCCAGAGCTATAAGTTGTTTTAACTGGAAGAGCATAAATTGGACTCAATCAAATGTTACTGTCCAAAAAATACAGTAGGTTTAACTTCTAGTCACAACTCTTAAATCCTCTAAGGTTAAGTGATTAATTAAATACATAAGTAACTACACTTATTTAATTTTCCAACTTTACATTTTTTGGATTGGTGGTCAACAAAAGCAATATTTTACTAATACCTTCTGATTTGTCAATAACTTTAGATTGGGTCATAAAGTTTTTGTGTGCAATAATTGCTCATTTTAAGATATTTAAAATTTCCAAGTTATTTTATGATTATATCATGTTTTTATTATAAATATTGTGATTCAACTAAAACTGATAAAATACTTTTCTTTAGAAAACAGTACATCACTGTGCAGCTGTATTTGTGGATAACAGTGGAGTAGACATAGTGCTTGGCATATTGCCATTTGTAAGAGCTTTGTTGCTGAGAGGAACATCTGTCATATTATGTGCCAATGAATGGCCAGCCCTCAATGATGTCACTAATGTTGAACTGGAGGATATATTACAAAGAGCTTCAATAATTTGTCCAGTTCTATCTGCTGCATTAGCTACTGGTGACTTAATTGTAAGATCTAGTGGACAAAGAGGTCCATGTCTTGATCTCAGGACAATCAATGTTGGTGAGTTCTAAAAAATATAAATAAAATATTATCTTTAAGACTGATTTTAAAGTAATTTACTTTTTGCTTCCAGCTCTTTGTACTGAAATGAAAGTACGTGGAGTTGATTTAATTGTGTTGGAAGGAATGGGAAGAGCTTTACATACAAATTTGAATGCTCGTCTTGCTGTAGACTCATTGAAGCTTGCAGTTGTAAAAAATGCTTGGTTAGCCCAGCGCCTTGGTGGACCACTCTTCTCCGTTATCTTTATTTATGAAGAAAAACCTACTCAGTCCTAAACCTAATAGAATATTACTATCAAACTATATTTTACTAACCTGCAACTTTCCCAGTATTTTGTAGAGTAAGCCATCATCAATTAAACATTACTTAATTACTTTTGCATTCATATTTTGGAATGCCAAACTATGTGTTGACTTAGTGTTTTTCTGAATATATTGAGTGTTACCCTGGTTAAATTGTTTTAATATTAACTAAATACTATCATACATATGTGAGCAACACTTTCTCACAACTTAAATTTAAAAAAGTTTAACTGAAATAATTCTGAACCTGACCAACTATGTAATAATTTGGAATAGTATACCAATTGTGTATATTTCGCAGTCAGATTATAATTCTTGTTGTGATAATGAAAACAAACTCCAAAAGTAGCCTATGCCCCTTTATCGCATACACAATTTCATCAAGATAGGTTCAGCATTTAGGCGTCAAAGCGTAAAGAATGATCAGCAACTTTCGGATCAATATGTACTTGCTATTTGTCATTATACAACAGGTTAACCTTAGTATAGCTAATGAAAAAGCGCCTGTTGTCAAGTTTACAAATAGCCATGTGAAATGCCGGAATTAGAGTTGTAATGCTACTGCCTAATGAATTAACACTAAGTTATGAACTGTCTATTAATTTGGCCTCAAAAATAATGATAATTTAATATTGTTGATCAAAAAGACAAAATAAAGTAAATTAGTAAGGGAATCCATCTATCATTTATTTAAGTTAAAATGACCCATTTTATTACAACTATATAAACTAAAGTAAAATATATATCACTTCATTACAAGTAGATCAAAAGCAGAATTATGTATACTGAAACTTGGATGAAGGATCACTGTACACTGTTATACTGAAATGTACATAAAGGTATAAAAAAAATGTTACCTAAATGCTAAGAAATCAAGTTAACATTTTCACTTTGTGATATCCTCTACAAAATGATGCAACCTTTCTAATTAACATACCATTTATAAAATGGTCAAATTTTTTTAACTTCATGAAGTTAACAATACATCATTTAAACTTCATTTTACATCGATTGAATCAAAGATTAGGATCTATTCAGCCAAGCAATAACCTTGAACAACAAATAAGCAATGCCAATAGCATAAGCTATTTTTTCCTTTTGTTGTCTCTGCAATTGTTCTGCTTCAATTGCCATTACACGTCTATTTAATTTTACAATTTGTCGACGCAAATGAACCATCTCTTCTGCTGTAGAGAGACCTTCCCCATGTCCCATTGGAGGAGTAGGATCCCTGAAAATTATAATTAAATGATTAATGTCATAGGCTAGACCAATTACATTTCTTTCTTTTTAATTATTACTGCCTTACCTTAATACAAGACGTGATTCAGTCATAGTGGAATCGTTGAAGTTGTCAGGGCGAGGAGTGGTGGATCTGGCTCCATCACCTTGCGATCTGATGATTCTTACATTCCTTGGTGGTGAATTTGGTGCATCTATAGGAAAATCATCAGCAGATGGAAAGTAGTGTTGATCTAGGGTGATGACACGGGGTGGTGTGCTCACACGAATCATGCCTGGGTCAGTAGGTAGTACAGCATTATCCAGTTGGATTTCCCTTGGTGGAGCCTTAGTACCTATTTGTAAATAAATGTAACAATAAATTGAGCATTGTCTTAAATAATTGGTAATAATTTACAGGAGTAATTATTTAAAACTTAATTTAGAAATTAGTTATTAGGCCTACCTATATGTTGGTCCTGCCCAGCAACCAATATCCTTTCTGGAACTTTCATGTCAAATTTCTCATTAGCATAATCCCAGCCTGTCACTAGTCCATTAGGTGCACCTTCTTCATCCACAATGTCTCCAGTAGCCTTAAATCAAAATTTTGTGAATCTAAGGTTATGACTAACAGGGCAAAGTATATAATTAATTAATGAGGTAATTTATATAAATACACAATTAATAAATCAGGTAAAGTTATAATATTACTATAACATACAATAACAAAGTTTTAACTGGGTGTTGTTTTGTATATATTTGTTGTAATATAAAATTCCTACCTACCTTTATCCTTTGTGGCACAGTCATATTATGGCTAATGAGCCGAGCGTAAGCTTCTTCTGAAGTGAACTGCATTTTTTTATTATCTAAAAAGTAAATAATAATACAAAATACATTATGCTTCACATTTAACAAGTAGCTACCTTTAATAATTAACAAGAACTTGTAAATTAAATGAAAGCCTTCATTCTGTTTTCAATATATGTAACTAACTTCCGGGGGGTAATTGTAAAGGTGAAAATAAACTAATACTCGACTGTATTTATGTTAAGATTACCTTTTTAAAGAATGCAAGTAGTTTATTACCTTTATGATCAAAGTGGGCAGGGGGCAGTACCAACTATTATGAAATCTTTGGCCGAGGCAAATTCTGCAACTTTTCTGTTATATCTCCGAATGTAATTACAAAATGTGTACCTTAATCCAATTGTTTGAACATTTGATAGGTGGTAGGTATCTCGTTAATTAAAAGAAAAGAAAGATTTTATTTTCGGATTTATTTACCACAGACTAGCAGACTTTGACTTTGACGTAAGGTTTTTTTTATTTCTCCCACAAAAGCCAACAGAAAGTGAGTCCATGCAGCCCTTTTGTTACTGTTGTGCTGTGTTCAACTATCTAGGCTCTGAATGGAACTTGTTACCCATATCTGTTTGATTTCCAAACTAGCTGCTGTACTTATCGACGAAATGTGAAAAAATAAATAAATAAAATGTGTATCAGCCTTTATGATTGTCGTTAACATCATATTTTTTTTTTCTAAATCGTTTCGCACGGCTTGTGTATTTAGCCAATGGTATCAATTCTAGCGTGATTCTCTAAACTTAAAACTAAATTTAACATCAGCCTCTCCTTTTCATTCTGTACAGAGAATGACAAAGATATACTGCTGTCAAATTTAAGTTTAAGTTTAGAGAATCACGCTAGAATCGACACCAATGTCAAGTGTTTAAATGTTTACGAATATCGAAAGACACTTTCCGCTATTTTGTTTCACTTGCCAACACTTGTGCATGTTCCCGAACACTTAGTGGTTAATAATCCACCATTACTAGACACTAACATCCGCCACAACACAATTTTTAACAAGAAAAACAAAACTGCTAAAGTGACGCTTCCCGATCCCGCTAAAAATTCTGTCATCCATCCATCGACAGTTAATAAATAGCCTTTGTTGTGTGCCTCTTGCTCTGCTCGCTTTTACGATTAAAGTAAATATGATACTCTTTGCTGACATAACATAGATAACGTAGCCTCTCCGTGTAATATTGTGATTGGTGGATTTTAGCAAGGAGAACTTGCAAATGTCATTCTCATCGTAATGTCATGGCAATCACTTTAGTGTTTTACGTACCGACAGTTTGTTTCTTATTTATTTTTTGAAAGTTAATAATTATGAAATGGTATTAGTGATATTTTCGAAGAGTGGAAAAGATTTATAAATACTGTATTCTAGGTATTTGGTGAATCGTTGCCGCCTTATTTCGTTACGATGAGAGCCACCGGCTTGTGGACTCCTCTTGTGATAGCAATCTTCATTTATGTTACTTTGGGCTCAACTTCTGAGTCTACGAAACATGAAGAAAGGAAGTCAAAGTCTGTTACAACGTTCGTCAGCGCTAAATGGGAGACTACTCCAATTGTACTGGAATTGGCAGAATACCTCTCTGGGGAGAGCTCTGATTTGTTTTGGTCCTTTGTGGATCAGATAAATGCCTTAAAATCTAGTCTGGACAGCCTGGGTAAGAATGAAGATTCAGCAATTCTATGCATGTATATTTAGGGTTTTTTTAAGTAAATATTTATGTAGTTACTTTTATTGGTGTGTGTTTATAGTTAATCACTTTTTTTCTTTTATAATAAAGCCGCATTTGTGAATTTCTCTACGCCTACAGGTTGACTGGCAGAGAATGCTTTTAGCGTTAAGTCCGCCTTTTGTCCATTTTTGTAATTGTGGCAATAAAGTTTAAATAAATAAATACATGATGACCAGTAGCTTAAAAAAAATATCTTTGAACTACATATTTATTTATTACTTACTAACTATTGTATTGGAAGGGGGGACTATGCCTTTTATTCTTTTATTATGGTGGACATATTCAAATACTGCAACAAAGTTTTATTAAAATAAACTGTCAATTTTTTGTGATATTAATAGAATAAGACTAAATCAGTTTCATTAGTATTCAATTTAATCAAGTTCACTGAGTGCGGCTACTGTAGTAATATTAATTTGAACTTCATTCAGCGTCAATAAAATAGAACCTCCGCAAAATATTTTTTTCAAGCGGTATTATAATCCTTAACACAAGTATTTATCACCAACAATATTGGATCCATTTGAAAACCCATTTAATAAAATAAAAAAAAAACAATTCAATTAATTTTTTATTTTTTATTGGAACCATGCAAAAAACAATATGCGCTTTGATGGATCTTATCAGTTTTAGGAGCTCTTCTTGAGGCAGTATCCCTCCCATTCCTCAATAAGGCCTCTTTGAGCTCCTGGAGAGTCATGAGAGTGGAATCTAGAGACTGAACCTTGCGTTTCAAATGGTCCCAGAGAGATCTGGACTTCTGGCTGGCTACTACATAACAGAGATCCTAATCTCTTGTAGGTAGTCTGCCAAAGTTAATGCAGTGTGAGCGCGATAGTTATGGTGCATTAAAGTGAACCGTTCGCCATCAAAACTAGCATAGGAGACTACATGCTCTTCAAGGATCTTTGTGACATACTGGTGAGCAGTCGGTGACCCTTGCCCACAATCACCTTCAGTCTGGGAGACGCTTACAAGGCCGGTTTTGCCATCGGCCGACATGCCGCCCCAAAACATACAGGAACCACCCCCGTATTCCACCGTCTCGTGAATGTAGGCTTCGGTGAAACGTTCCCCTGTATTCTGTACACTATTCTGCATCTATCGTTGCAGAAAAGTCACACTGTCGTCTCGTCTGAGAAGAGTTGGAATTGACGTAGTCGCGAGCAATCTGTAAGCGGGCTCGCCGACGCTCTGCGGCCAATTTTGGACCCGTAGCAGCTCTATTAGCCGCTATTTTCTTCTCCCTCAGTCTTCATCTAACTGTAGAAACGCTCACGTTCTTCTGCGAGCTGCCGGGGGGCCAGTCGCCTAATTATATCGCTATCGCTTACGATTTTATTTTCTTATTTCTGACCAATGAAGGTTTTAAAATGCATTGCGCTCGTTTTTTTTCTTTTGCATTGGTAATAACAATCTTAAAGAAAAGGTAAGGTAAGTAAGAGCGTAAGGTATTTGAAAACCTTGGGGGGGCAGAAATATGTATACATGAAAAGGTAAGCGATAGCCATAGCAATCCCGTTAGGCAATTGACCCCCTGAGCTGCTGGAACTGCTGTTGCAACTTAACCGAAAAACGGTTCAAGTTCAATTGCACAGCGACATCACACTGCCGCAACCTTGATTGCAGTAGTGCAATCACTTCGAGTTACTTCATCAACAGTGGTATCCATCTTCAAGGTTTTTTTTGTAAAAGATCTTCTCGTGTGTCCTCTTTAACGGTTGGATAGCGAATAACCCCCATTGCACTTCTTCTCGCGCGTCGCAGGCGCCATAGGCCTGCGAGGAATCCGGTATTGAATTGTTTTTCATTGCGGAGATGGCGGGTTCGCACTCTGTCTCCTATTATTAGTTAGTATTATATTAGTAGATAACTACCTTCGTTTTGGTTGGTAGCTGGCTGCGAACGGTAATGTGGACGTTTATACAGAGTCGGGGGTCGATAGTGACTCCAAGATATTTGACGCTTGAAGCCCATGGGATTGTCTCCCCCAGGATGGTGATTGGTGGTGGAGGGCGATGTCTGCATTCGGTGACCATTGCCTGCGTCTTGGCCACGTCGACGCGCAAGCGTCTTTTCGCGAGTTAGGGGCGTCCAGAGTGGGTTGAATGAACTAATGTTCGCGGTGTCGTCGGCGTACGGGGCGACATTAACGCCGTCCATCGCTGGCACGTCGTTAGCGTGGGCCGCGTAGAGACTCCTGCTTGGACCGGGCGCGAACTGGAGAGCGCGCCTTCTACTGTAACTCTGATCCGGCGGTCGGTGAGAAATGATGAAATTATATGGAGAAGGCGTGGCGGAAGGTTGGCTTGCGATAAAAAATGACCCCTTCGTGCCTGACTCTGTCGAACGCCTGTCTCCATATCCAGCATTACTAAAGCGGAGATAACCCCCATTGCAGGCGCGGTCGCAGCCTGAGATTTTGGAGGGGATCACTCATTACACTAATAAAAAAAAAAACCGGCCAAGTGCGAGTCGAACTCGCGCGCCTAGGGTTCCGTACACACCTGAATTTTCAAAAATATTTTTTATTATGTGACGTAACTAAAAATTTACGGTTTTCGCAATTTTTCCTTTATCTGTACTATGAGACGTTACTTTGTACCAAATTTCAAGATTCTAAGGTCACGGGAAGTACCCTGTAGGTTTTGATTCCCGTGCGAGTTTCGAAAATTTGCGGCATAAACGGCTGTACTGTATCTTTTGATTGCTTCGGCTTAGAAGTTTGATTTTTTCACAGCTCCAAGGGACAGTAGACCTGAGTATTAGATATGAATTACAGTTCGATACCTCCACGCATTCCTAAGAAAAACGGTCTTGACAGACGGACGGACGGACAAAAAGTGATCCTATTAGGGTTTCCGTTTTTACCTTTTGAGGTACGGAACCCTAAAAATGGGTATCTGGAATAAAATAAACATTAATGCACAAGACACAATTTTATTTTATACATTACTTATAAAACAATATGGAAGTCTTTTTTTATATGTGTATTTGCGAATCGGGTGATAATATTTGAGACGTCTGGTTATTGCCGTCTTTGACCTATTTGAGGCCCTGGGGGCCATTCGCCTAACGGAAGTGCTTTGGAAAACGCTAACGCTTACGATTTCATTTTGTTATTTCTAGCTACCTGAGGTTTTCACATGCCTCGCGCTCCTTTTTTCTTTTACATTGGTAATAACAATATTAAAAAAAATGAGCGCGAGGTATTTGAAAACCTTCGGCGGTCAGAAATAACAAAATAAAATCGAAAGCGTTAGCATTTTCGAAAATTTGGATATTGGGGCCCCTATGACTTCCGCTTGGTGATTTAACAGGAACTAGGGACTTTGTATTTGATCTGAGGGGGTCCCCTATCGATCGCGGGGCCCTTGACACTTGCCCAAAGGGCACTGGGAAAGACGGGTCTGCGTCTGGTACTATTTCCGGGTGAATGTTTCATTCATTCATCATCAACCCATGCTCGTCCACTGCTGGACATAGGTCTCCCCTAATGCACGCCACTGCTTCCGATTTTGTGCTACTCGCATCCAGCCCACTCCAGCCAGCCTACGAATATCATCATCCCATCTTGTCTCAGGGCGTCCTACACTACGTTTACCGAGTCGTGGTCTCCGCTCAAGAACTTTCCGGCTCCAACGGCCATCAGTTCTGCGGCTAATGTGACCAGCCCACTGCCACTTCAGTTTGCTAATTCGGTGGGCTATATCGGTGACTTTGGTTCTCTGTCGGATTACATCATTTCTGATGCAGTCCTTCAGGGATACTCCGAACATAGCCCTTTCCATAGCTCTCTGAGGGACTTTAAACTGGTGGACTCGTCCAGCCGTGAGTATCCACGTCTCGGCACCGTATGTCATAACTGGGAGGACGCACCGGTCGAAGACCCTCGACTTGAGACATTGAGGGATGGGTGACGAGAAGACTTGACGAAGGTTACGAAATGCTGCCCAGCCCAACTGAATTCTTCTATTGGCTTCTCTCTGGAAGTTGTTTCTGCCTAATCGGAGCGTTTGTCCTAGATAGACATATTCCTGAACAACCTCGAGAGGTACTCCATTAACAGCAATCAGTCCCGGATCAACGAGCTCGTTGAACATGACCTTGGTTTTATCCAAGTTCATCCGGAGACCGATGCGTTTGGAAGATTCAGCCAGGCTGCTCACCATCTCCTGTAGCTCTTGCAGGGTTTCAGCCAGGATGACGATGTCGTCCGCAATACGAAGGTGTGAGATGTATTCGCCATTAATATTTATTCCACGTCTTTTCCATTTGAGCGTTCCGAACATGTCCTGCAGCGCAGCGGAGAAGAGTTTCGGGGATATTACATCCCCTTGTCTCACACCACGGCGCAGCAGGACAGGCTCGGTCTGACCATTCTGGAGGACGACGGACATATTAGCGGCGTCATACAGACATCTCAGCACCTCGATATACCGCCAATCAACTAGGCACCTCTGTATGGCCTCGAGAACAGACCAGGTCTCGACGGAGTCAAAGGCTAAATGTTTAGGGTGAATGTTTAGAAGAGCTAAATCTGTTAATCGCTCTTCTTCTAACATGTTAACTCTCAACTACGTTTTTTAACTAAGTAGACAGCCTTCATCTTGAATCTTTACAACAAACCGACAAATTACATTATTATAATATTGTTATACAATCTTTATCATAATGATGCATATCGATTTTGCTAGGATTACCAAAACTACGTAGTTCGGTTCCTTGTTTCTAAACTAGTACCAGATGTCATTTCCAAGTTATTTTGGCCATCCTACGAAGTTTATAAAAACACCACTAGATGTCAGCAAACTATAAATTTATTGCTGTTAGGAGATAGCTCGAAATGTCCTTTTATTATATGGCAAATTATTGAGATTTTTCAATTTGACCTTAGATTTGGGGGGCCGCGCCTGCCCCATTGAACCTGTATTAACCCCTTTTATACCCACTAAACGTAGCGCAACTACTGGCCCTTTTGAGGAGCAACATTGGCATTTTTTTTGAAAGGCTCAATTGTGGTATCAAGCCTTTTTTTAATGAAATGAAATGAGTTTTTTTTTAAAGTTTATTTAATGGGCTCTCAAATGACCAATATTGGTGGGGGTACATGCGCGTATTAAGGGTTAACTACACTTGAAAGTTATTTTCGCGGAGGTGCGATTTTTTTGATGCCGAGTGTAGATTACATAATTTTTTTTTTTTTTTTTAATTATTTTACTGCTAGTTTATATTTTTTTTTTGTAAAGATCCATGAGTATTCCAACTGGTGTTTTTGTTTGCTATTAAAACATTATAGATTAAAACATGATATACTCTTATATTGATATATTTATACATTTAAATGCTAGATGCTTAAATGTAAAGAAAATGTTTACTAGAATAATTCCACGCGACCAGGCAGCAGACGGGACTTGAACCCTCACCTACCCTGTATACTTATATGAATTAAAAATTTCCAGAGACTGACAAAGAAGTATATGATGCATGTATAGGAGTTGCCAGCACATTGCTGGTTCCAGCCCAGTTGCGTATGGCAAAACTAGCTCTGTCTATGCATACATCCTCTCCAACAGTGCGCATGTTTGATCAGATTTCTACACAAAATGCGGCTAAAGAAGTGCAATGTAACACATTTGTCGCCATAGCCTCTAGAAGAGTCTGTGATAATGAAGCGCTAAGAGATATTCTTAAATCATATGATAAATATGATCCTGTGAGTATAGATATAATTAAATTGTTGCAATTAAATACATATACAGTGGAGCCCCGGTAATCCGGCCCCTGGCTAATGCGGCACCCCCCATAATCCGACATCGTCTATTACATACAAGTATTCGCTAATTCACGATTGAACAAGTTACAACTTGTACGCACCATCACTATTGTGCTCGACGCGTAGGGTATTGTATTTTTATATTTTTTTGTAAACTCTATAGCATTAATGACGTTACTTTTATAATAAAACGTAATCTTTCTATTGTGTAAACTCTATAGCATTAATGACGTTACTTTTATAATAAAACGTAATCTTTCTATTGTGTTGTTTAATTTACTAAATTTGACATACTTAACAAAGTATGGTTTCTCTTAATCTTATCATTGGATCTGTAATTTGTCGGATTACAAGGTACTCTTTGTAAAAAAAAACGGACTATAGGGGGTCTTAGGAGGAGGTACTCTATAATCCGACAAATTCGATAGTTCGACACTGCCCTGCAAAATGTTTGTCGGCCTACCGGGGATCCACTGTATTTGAATCACACAAACTTTGGTTTCAGAATATTTATAGGTCACAAACCAGTACAATAAATATTATAATTGCAAACAATATGAATTCTGAAAGAAAAACCATGAACTACAAATTATTATAAAAACATATATACCTAGTCAGGTCATAAATTCTGTCACATGTTTAATATGAAATAATTGAAACAAGTTTATTCATTATGTAACCATTTATATACCAAAATGAATTTAACAAAACATCTCTTATGACAATAAAGTTTATTCAAAATGACCTCCGTGATTTTGAATACAGGCCTTCAAACTGCGCGGCCAGTCTATCGCAGCACGAACGAGTTCCATGTCAATATCGGCGTCAAGGATGTCTAGAGTGACTCCAAATTGGGATGAGGCTTTGCGCACGCCTTTTCCTCCAAGTGTTGCCATATCTTGTAATCTAACGGACTCAAATCTGGACTGGAGGCAGGCCAGTCTTCGTGCCGGATGAAGTCGATTTCTCTCAGATTTTCTGTCTTGGGTGCTCTTCGCTCTATGAGCTGGCGCCGAATCTTGTTGGAATACCCAGTGCCTGTTATTGAACATGGTATGAGAAACAGGTTCCACAAGGTTCGTCAGGACTGTATTTTGATACATAACTGCATTCGTTTTTACACCTTTCTCACAAAAATGTACCTCTGTTAAGCCCCAATAAGAAACTCCCAACCATACCATGAGCGAGGATGGAAAATGACCTCGTTGGACACGCGGAATACGGTTGCTCGCTTCTTCACTACTGTGTGCGTACACCTTATCATTTTGTTTGTTGTAGCTCTCTTCTACGGTAATATTTTTTTCATCCGAAAAAAGAATTTCCCGATATTTTTTTCCCGCGTACCGCTTCATCAAAGCGCGGCATCACTTCAGTCTCAGGTCCATTAGACGAGCATTCAAATGATGTCCTGATTGTCTTTGATATGCCCGAAGCCCTAAGTCTTCATTTAACACTCTTTTCACCGTGGTTCTGCTTAACCCCATCTGAAGGGCCAACAGTTTCTGCTTACGTTTGGGATTTCTTTGAATTCGCGCCTTCACAGCTTTTGTCACTGCTGGAGTCCTAACAGACCGAGGGCGACCACTTCTTGACCTGTCATCTACACTAGAGTCTTCATTATATCGTTTGATGGTACGATAAACGAATCTTTTGGTTATATTCAAAATTTTCAGTATGTCAAAAATTTGAATTGGCGCGTAACCGCAACGATGCAACGCAATAACTGCAACACGGTCTACATTAAGCGTCCACTCCATATTTAAAAATGAGTAAAATTCTAAAAAGTATACATTTTTATTTTCATGAACAATTCGAAATTCGAATTCAATGAACTTTTTTGTGGCCAGCATTCTAAAAGAAAAGTTTTTACTGTGTGACAATACTTATGACCTGACTGTGTACAAACTTATAAAAGTAAATTTATCAAAAAAGAGTCAGTTACATTAGTCTTGTGTAAGATATTAATATGAATAAGCCATAATTGGCTAAGCAGTTTTGCTTTTACACTGTTGACACAGTAGTCTTCTGCCTACATCACAGTCAAAATTCAAAAATTTTGCTGTGATTTATCTGCTTGAAATTGAATAAATACCAGCTGAGTGTGCTTATTAATTCATATAATGTGTGCATAGCTTTATTGCTACTGATGTTTAAATACTCTTATAATTACCAATTCCTTAGAGAAATCAACCTTGAATTTGTGTATCATATTGATGCAAACATTCATTAGAAGGGATTAATTCTTTACATAGGGTGTATTCCAATACACAATGCGTCTTCAATATATACTCAAAAAGAGTAAGCAACCAGAAGTTTTGACTGATATTTAATATTTTAATACTTTTCTTTTGTTCATAATAACCAATGTAAATTATTAGTAACTTAAGCAAAAAAAAAAAAAACTTTGACTATTTATATAATTTCATTTTTTTAAGCATGTAACTGCTCGGTGTTTAAATCTAAGGAAAATATTATTACAAAAAATTCCATCGGGCCAGGCAGCAGACTGTACTCGAACCCGCACCCTTCGCTATCCGGGCAAATGCACTGACCAATTATTATCTTATTATTATCATATATCATTTTCTTGTTTTTATTCACACCATTCATAAAATAAAGCAATTTTTTGAATTTTAATTCTGTTGATAACAGAGATGTGACTTATCTGAGATAAAAGTATCTAAGTTACAAAATACGTATTTGTGTCCTGTATTTCAAATACTTTTTTGAAATTTATTTTGTATCTTGCATTTAAATACTTCTTTTCAGTATCTTAGTATTTTTAAGATACTATTTTTACTAAGTTACTTTTTCTTTTCCTATATAATTTTCAACATTGATTTTAAAATGCATGCATTTTTGTAAATTAGCGCGTTACTATTCTAAGCCTAAGTGCATTACTTTTCTATCAACTTTGTTCACCATGAAAAGAAAATCGTAAGTTCATATTTTGCCGTGTTGTTCACCTTAATGTTATGGGTTAGGTGGTAGTGAACAAAAAATACGTAACTTCCCCAAAGGTACGTTTTTTTTGTTAGCGTTCACTAGAGGAAGAAGAGTTGTTTGAAATTTGTGTCAATTTTATTTGGTCTGTTTTGTAATGGAGTGAAATGAAGATATTAATCAGGTTAAAAAATTAGAGAGAGAGACCGGAGCTTATTAATGATATCATCTCTTGAACATGACCATTCGTGAACACTGCATATTATTAATAATCGTGGTCACCCATCCCAAACTCAACCAATCGTAAACAACCTGCATATTATTAATAATCGCGGTCATCCATTCCAAAATTAACCAATCGTAAACAACCTGCATATTATTAATAATCGCGGTCACCCATCCCAAACCCAACCAATCGTAAACAACCTGCATATTGTTAATAATCGCGGTCACCCATCTCAAATCCAGAGATGTGACTTATGTAGATACAGATACAAGATACAAAATACGTATCTTGTATTTCAAATACCTTTTTGAAATTAATTTGTATCTTGTATTTAAATACTATTTTACTTTATCTTAGTATTTTGAAGATACTATTTTTTTACTAAGATACTTTTTCTTTTCCTATATAATTTTCAACATTGATTTTAAAACGCTTGCATTGTTGTAACTTAGCGCGTTACTATATTCTAAGCCATTAGTCCATATGTTGCCGTCTCATTCACAAATGAAAATAATAATCAGCTTATTTTTACAAATATAATTAGAGAGAGAGACTGGAGCTTATTAATGATATCTCTTGAACATGCCCATTCGTTAACACTGCATAATATTATGTATTTATTAATAATCGCAGTCATCCATCCCAACCAATCGTAAACAAACTGCATATTATTAATAATCGCGGTCACCCATCCCAAACCCAAGCAATCGTAAACAACCTGCATATTCATAATCATGGTAACCCATCCTAAATCTGACCAATCATAAACACCCTGCACTTTCAGAATATCGAAAAAAAATTTACACCGAAACTATCATTAATTCATAGTTCTAGATGAATATTGAAGAAACGTGAATGCAAATAAAATCAATCGTAAGATGATAATGATTAATTTGATGATCGAAAGAACAGCAGCCACGTCTTTAGGTTCGTGGCCTAACGGTTTTGTTATCAAAAAATATTGCTAACATGTTTTGATTCAAAAAGTATTTTTATCTAAAGCAAGTATTTTGAAAAGACGTATCTTGTATCTGTTATCTAAATACTTGACTACCTGGTATCTTGTATTTTGTATTTAAGATACTTTTTTTTAAATGTATTTTTTACATCTCTGGTTGAAAAGTAGTTGTATATAATATCAACTGATAAAACTTGCAGTTTGAAAACAATGCATGTTGCTTAGACTTAGTTTTTGATGTGTACCTATTTATTTTTGTTTCAGGAAGACCATAGGTTGGAAACCTACCTGCTAGATCATACTTATCCAAGTAGTGACAACAAAAGCTTAACAGCCATCTTGTATGGTGAGCTTGGTATGTCAGACTTTGCAACAAAACACAAAATACTGTCAGCTTATGCTGACAAAGGTGCCATTAATTATGTAGTAAGATGGAATGTTAAGGTGAGTAGATATGGAAATTATGAATATTGCCCATTTTAGGACAATGATGGATACTGCTTCTGATGGAAATAACTATAAATAGATAGATTTTACTTACAATATTTTAACATTTAAAGGAAACACTGTAATTTATCATATTTTCATTATAAAAAGAATTTTTATAAAAAATAAAATAATAGTTATTGTTTCCAATGTTGCCTTGCTCTTTATAAAAAAGTCCTAATTTTTTTAATGATGTATTGATTGTTTTGAGGATATTGATCATATTCACCTGGGGAAGGCCTATGCTGAGCAGCATGTGTCATATGGTTCATGTTGTATTAAAATATAGAAAAAACTAATGTTTATATTATATTCCATTAAATAATTAAATAAATGACTATCAGCTCATTTGCCTACATAAACATAAAAAAAATATGAGTTATCAACTGATGTTATGTATAACAGTTATCAACTGGTATTGAAACTTATTGTATTTTTTATATATCTTATAAATAAATATCATACAGCCACGAGGCCGGCCTAAGCTGCGTTTGTCTGGCTATGGAGTGGAACTTCAGTTGAAAAGTACAGAGTACAAAAGTCAGGATGACTCCACTCCAAAAGAGACAGAGGGCGATGAGCAGACTCCTTCTGTAGAAGAAGATGAAAATGACCCTCAGAATCAAATAGATGGGTTTAATTTTGGCAGACTTAAGTGAGTCATTAATAACTTTTTAAGAAGCCTTTGTAAGTTGTTCATAAAAGAGTTCATGGCGAATCAATATCGCGAGGTTAATCCTTTAACTAAATTGTTTTTTACTGACATTCATTAATTTACACAAAATCAAACCTAACGCGAACGAAGCTGTGGGGAAAAGCTAATAATATATAAGTAAATTTGTTTAAATCACTCGCAGGAACTTATTCCCTGCACTGCGTACACCGTTGGAGCGGTTCAGACGCCACCTGTCGGAGTCAAGCGAGGAATTGGCGCCGCTCAAGGTGTGGCAGATGCAGGCGCTCAGCATGCAGGCCGCCGCCGCTGTGGTAGACGCCAACGATGCGGGCGGCGACGAGTCTCTCAAGGTGCTCACGTCTATCGCACAGAACTTTCCAATGCAAGTGAGTACCGTGTTAACGAGTTGCTTGATTTTCTTTTACTATATTCATACCAATCGCCAAGCTGAAGTGACAATGGACGGGGCACATTGTTCGGCAAACCGATGGACGTCGGGGTCCCAAGGTGCTTCAATGGCGACCTTGCACCGAGAAGTGCAGTGTCGGTAGACCCCTCATCAGGTTGACTGACGACGGCATCGAGCGAGTCGCGGGGAACCACTAGATGCGGAGAGCGCACGACTGTTGTGTTTGGAAATCCCTTAAAGAAGCGTATATTCAGAAATGGATGTCCATCGGCTGATTATGATGATAATCATCTTATTATTCTATGATGATCGTCTTTGAAGTATCATCATCATATTTGAGAGTAAAGTTATTTAAAATGGCAGGTATCTACCGAAACCTATTCTTTCGAATAACTCTGCCTATTACTCTGTATAGGAATAAAAATTAAACGTTTATCAATAAACTTTTGAGACACACCTTTAGGGAAAACTCTATCTTAGTGAGAAACAAAAACCTCTCTTACTTAGTACGTTATTCGTTAATTTTGCCTTCTTATTTATCCGCTCATTATTAATCCCATTGGAAAACTTTCTATTTGGTCTATTTAATATACTCATACATCAAATGTGAAGTATTCACTGGGTCTTATATGAAAATACTGACCTATTTAGGTTTATGAGTAATCTTTTGGGCGTGTGTTTGTGCAGACGAAGTCTTTGATTCACGTGAACGTGCCGCGCTCCTTCCGAGACGAAGTGCTGTACAACCAAGACATTTGGGCACAGTCCCTGGGCCTCCGCCCTGCCGAGCCGGTATTGTTGGTCTCCGGGGCGCAGTACGATGCTGAGGACGTCGACATATTGGCCCTTTTAGCAGCCATAAGGGAAGATATCGGACCAATGAACACGCTCCATGCTTTAGGTAAACAATAGTTATATGCCTAAAATTAGGAAGTCTGGGCAGGTCGCTGAAACTCCGCCCACTGAGCCGCTACTATTAGTTTCCGGGGCGTAGTACGATGCGGAGGACGTCGACGTATTTGCCCTTTTAGCAGCCGTAAAGGAAGATATCGGATCAATGAACACGCTCCATGCTTTAGGTAAAGAATAGTAATATGTCTACAATTAGGAAGTGCAGGCGAGGTCGCTGAGTCTTCGCCCCACTGAACCGCTATTGTTAGTCTCCGGGGTGCAGTACGATGCAGAGGACGTCGACGTATTTGTCTTTTTAGCACCCGTAAAGGAAGATATCGGACCAATGAACACGCTCCATGCTTTAGGTAAACAATAGTAATATGCCTACAATTAGGAAGTGCGGGCGGGATTGCTGAGTCTCCGCCCCACTGAGCCGCAATTGTTAGTCTCCGGGGCGCAGTACGATGCGGGAGGATGTCGACGTATTGGCCCTTTTAGCAGCCGTAAAAGAAGACATCGGACCAATGTACACGCTCCATGCTTTAGGTAAAGAATAGTAATATTCCCACAATCAGAAAGTCTGGACGCTGTCACCGGGACTACAAATAAGTACTCGATATGCTTGAATCTCTCTAGGCTGCGAGTGGGTGCGTAACCCTTGATTTTTTACACTCCGCATTCCGCATAGACGATGCACCGATCCTCAGGATGCATACTTACTAATCTCCAGAGATCAGTAGGACACGAAAGTAGAAGTACCAATTTCAAAAAGCCCTTAAGTCCACTTACGATTTTTGAAGTGAAAACTTCTTTAACGGCGTTGTACATTTTGTTTGTAATGGGTAAAAACTGTTAAACTCGCGTCAGGACACGTGACCTAATCGAAAATTCGTAAGACGAAAACAATAAAATTGTTGACTTTCAATATATTGGACGAAACATAGTAATATTTTATTTTATAGTATTATGTTAAAAAGTCTCTAATTAGGATGTCCAGGTGGCAGCTTTATTGCGAAGAAAATGATTTTTTTCTACAATGGATGTCCAAAGGTGCGCTTAAATGTGATTCATGCAAGTTGATTTTTCTTAGAGATAGTACTTTTATACTGATAATTAAAGCAATTCGTGCAAAATTATTCCCTAACCATTCCAAAATATCAAAAATGCATAATGTTAATATTCAAGTTTTCACTTCTGCCGGCACTCCCGGAGTGCAACCCGTCGTTTTTTTTAATCTGACGACACCATTGAAATTAGCTCTTCATATTGCCTATGGTTGACTATCGAATTATTTTGTTAAAAGACTGTCCAGAAAATTAATAGACACTTTTTTTTTAGCTTAACTGTCTCTAAGTGTATAAAAGTTCATATTGTCATAGACTTTTAGACCAAGCAGTTATGAAGTTCATAATCACTATTGTGCCAAAAAGGACCAAAGTCCTAGCAATGCTGAGAAAAAAGTAAAATGTAATTTTATCGTAAACTGTTTCTTCGTTTGTTCATTCAACTTCGTTTATAATAGCTGCGGTGGTTTTACATTTTATTGTGAAATCAAAAAATTGATAAACTAAAAAATTATTAAAGGTGTCTAAGACCGATTAGAACCTAAGTTCGTTAGCAGACGGGACCGGACCTGACCCGCGTGGATTTTTTTCTAAAGTGGGACTACGATAAGCCTGCTGTGGATTGACAGTAGCAAAAATGAAAACTTTGCACATGGCAGTACTGATTATAGCTAAATTAACTTTCCCTGATACTTTATTATTAACCGACTTAAAAGGAGTTTTTTTTATCAAATATATATAAATTGGTGTTCGCACGTTTATGGGCCGATTTCGATGATTCAGTTTTAGGGTTCCGCACTCAAAGAGTAAAAAGAGAGCCCTATTGCTGACATTCTATCGTCTGTCTGTGTGTCCGTATGCCATGTGTCTTTATATCATAAACGGAATGAGTTACAGAACTGAAATTTTGGCATTTTATGTGGAATGCTTGCCCAAAGCCTAATTTTTAGTTCAAAATTCAATTTTATTATTTTTAATTGTATCAAGTTCTATCAATAACCTGGGGAGGAATTGGTTCAATGGATAATAATTTCACAGTTGTAAATTGTCTTGTCCAGGAACAATTTGTAATTTCTTTTGTGCCTTGTGATGATGTGCCAGATATACCAAATCTCCCATTAATATTAATAAGCCCTTGACAGTCAGGCGGCGCACAGAAAACTAGTAATGTGACGACCCCATTTTAGTATGTCCGGCGACTGTTTTAGTTGTGGGGATATTTGATGTTTGATTAGTTTTTGTAAATAGTTTGAATTTGGACAGGTTTATCCAAGAAACTGATCAGCAGTCTAATGTCCCTTGAGCTCGGCGAGTCGTACACTTGGGAAGAGTACGGGTTGGATGTACGCGACACCGCTATCACATGGCTTAACGATCTAGAGATGGATGAAAGATACCGCCGCTGGCCTTCTTCATACATGGATCTATTGAGGCCCACATATCCCGGTATGCTAAGGAATCTCAGGAGGAATATATACAACTACGTGAGTAAAGACAACATAAAACTACCCTCTATTTCTTCTTCTTTCCTCTCAACGATTTAGTAACGGACCAGATATACTGCTGCTGGCCCTCTTCATACATGGATCTGTTGAGGCCCACCTATCCAGGCATGCTGATGAATCTTAGGAGGAACATGTACAACTACGTGGGTATATCAGCAATGAAGACAACATAAAGCTACCCTCTATCATCTTCCATGTTCGTGAATTTGTCATATTTTGAATATTGAAAATTTTTCTAAAATACTTTTTTTTTTCTATCGTCACGTGATCGAGAATGGCTCGGATTGCCCAAGTTTATGATGACATTACACTTTTGTTAACTAGCTGTTTTCTTCTGTTTGCGGCCTAACATTCAGAAGTTTGTAGTTTGGGCGCCGAAAGCTGCGACATAGTCTTCCATACTATACGGATATTAACAAACCAATAATAGTTATAATTTTTATTATTTTTAAAGCATGTAACTGCTTGATGTTTAAATCTAAAGAAAATATAACTAGAAAAAATTCCACGCGGACCAGGCAGCAGACGGGACTCGAACCCGCACCCTTCGCAATCCGGGCGAATGCACTGACCAATTATGCTACCGGGGCCTCACGGACCGCGTCGAAATTCTTTCTAGCTATTCTTAAGCTGCAAGGCAGCGCCATCTCTTCGCATTATAGGTAGCATAATTGGTCAGTGCATTCGCCCGGATTGCGAAGGGTGCGGGTTCGAGTCCCGTCTGCTGCCTGGTCCGCGTGGAATTTTTTCTAGTTATATTTTCTTTAAACCAATAATAGTTATTAAGCATAATTTTGTTGATGTTCGAAAATGTTTTATAATTATTATAAACTAGCCACCATCCGCCTCTTCGTCCGCGTTAACTTTAGTTTTTTTCAGAATCTCACAAAAATTAGTAATTTTTCAGGAATAAAAAATATCGTATGTCGCAATCCAGGATATAAACTATATGCTTACCAATTTCATCCAAATCTGTTCAGTAGTTTTTGCATGATTGCGTAACAAACATACAAATTTTCTCATTTATAATATTAGCATGATAATGGGAAATGTGAATACACACAGTATATTTATTACTTTAGGTAATCATCGTAGATCCTACGTCATTGCTATCCGGGCCGCCCCTCAAACTGGGCGAGACGTTGTTGAAACACGCCACCCCCGTCCGCGTGGGTCTCGTACTGGCGCCGGGCAGTAAGGACCCTAAACTGGAGGCGGCGGTCCGTTCAGCATTCAACTATGTGGCACAAGAGAAAAATTCCAACAAGGAGGCTTTCTACTTCCTGACACAGGTGGGTGTTATCAGTCGTCTATAAAATAAATATAGCTAATCGTCATAGATCCTACATACGCATTTTATTGGAACCGTCTTCTGCTGAACGTGTTCCCGGTAGTCTGCTTCTACGACACCCGTGCGACAAGCGGGGTGTTGATTTTCTAGCCATACATGCGGCAAACTTGAATAATAAATATTAATATTTTGTTGCAGTTACTACATCCACCGCAAGAAGAGGTCTTAACCATTGATCTTGTGAAGAAGCAACTGAAGAAGTACTCTGGCTCTAATGCCGACTTAGACGACATAATATCAGATGACTCCGAATACAACTTCGGCTTTCAACTAGCTGAAGAATTTGTATCCAAAATTGGATCAAACAAATATCCACAGGTATATTCATAATATGTTGATGTAACATACTAAACCTTTAGTTTATTTTTATTTTTTAAAACTAAAAACGTTGACTTAGGTACTGATCAACGGCGTGCCGTTGACAGAGGAAGGCTCAAGCACGGTGACGTCATCTGTGGAAGTGCTGGAAGAAGCATTAGTTGGCGCCCTAGCGCGTCACACGGCACGCTTACAGCGCGCCGTATTCCGCGGGGAACTATCCGACACAGACGACGCCCTTAACTATCTGATGAAGCAGCCACACATCATGCCCAGGTAAATGAACATTGAAGGAAGGGTCAGATACAGTGACGTCATCGGTGCGAGAGCTAGAGGAAGCGTTAGTTGGCGCCCTAGCGCATCACACGGAACGTTTACAGCGCGCCGTATTCCGCGGGCAACTATCAACTATCTCATGAACCAGCTGCACATCATGCGCAGCTAAAGGAACTTTCTAGGAGGGGTTAGATACAGGACTTCATCGGTGCGAGTGCTAGAGGAAACGTTATTTGGGGCCAACGCGCGTCACACGGAACCTTTACAGCGCGCCGTATTCGGCGGGGAACTATCAAGTATCTCTTGAAGCAGCCGCACATCATGCCCAGGTAAAGGAACGTTATAGGAGGGGTCAGATACAGTGATGTCATCGGTGCGAGTGCTAAAGGAGCGTTAGTTGGCGCCCTAGCGCGTTACACGGCACGTTTACTGCGCGCCGTATTCCGCGATGTCGATGACGCCCTCAACTATTGGCGGCGTTAATGGTTGAAAAAAAAATTGATTAAAGTGAAAATATTATATTTCTGAGATTGTATTAGTTTTGGGTGAGCGTTTTTTTTTAAATGATCATTATTTTTCAGCTTATAGAATAGTATCAATTCAATGTTTAGAGTGTAAGTGTGAGTTAATTACTCGTTAATTCATAATTAGTGTCTATCCATCCAGTGTTGACCGCTAGTTAACTGGACTTAATTTGTTGCTAATGACCTCTAATAACCCCTTAGTCTTAGTAGAACGGCGGTAAAAGGTGTTTGTTGAAGTAGCCGTGACCCGTGAGTATACCCACGATTTGTTTCAGGGCTTGTCTAGGTAGTCGGATTAACTTACGTGATAGCTGCTGTTTTACGTTAGGAACGGCTTCCTTGGCTTGCCTGCAGTCAGTGTGTTTTGCCTAATATTCATCGTGTTGTCGTTGACAGCGCTCCCTTATCCAGGTTTTCAGCTGTCGATAAGGTATGGGTACAATTGGCTCCGGGCCAATGGCCGTCCTGCTGGACCCCTCTCTAGCCAGGCAGTCAGCCGCATCGTTACCCCTTGAGCCGCTGTGTCCTTTAATCCATTTTAAGGTCAGTCTATTGTCATTACACATATTGGATAACTTACAGTGGCATTCGTAAATTAACCCTGATGTCATTATATTGTTGTCCAGTGCCTGTAAGACAGAAGCGCTGTCAGAGAGAATACGAATTTGTTTTCCTCTTACCCCGCGGCAGTCTTTCGCCTCTGCAGCTCTAATGATGCCCACACACTCTGCCTGGAAGACTGTGTTATATGCTCCCAATGCTGTTGAGATGTGTCTATTTAGGTCTTCGGAGAAGACACTCGAACCTGTCCCACTGTTGGTTTTTGAACCATCTGTGTAGACGGGTCTAGCTCCTTGTGCAAACAGCGGTCCGGAGTGTCTTCATACAGTTGTATTTTATATTTTTTGTCAAATACATACGTCTTAGGAATAAGGTCGTTTACTGCTGCAAAGTACGGAAAGTGCCTATGTATGTCTGCTAAGATGTGTATGTGGGGAGTTGTTGTCCCTCCATATAGCCCCAGCTAAGGAGTAAGCATTAGTCGTGTGGCTGTACAAGCAGCTTCCTGTTGTATAAATAAATGGAGTGGTCTCACATTTAGTATAGTCTCCAGTGCTGATGTGGGAGAGGTTTTCATGCAGCCGGTGATTGCACAGCAGGCCCTCCTCTGGAGACGTCTTAACTTATTAATTGTCGTTAACTGGATTGTTTTGGTCCACCATACTACTGCTGCATAGCTGATGATGGGCCTAATTATTGTCGTGTACAGCCACCTGACACTAATAACCCCTTTCAAGCAACAGATCGAGTTCCTATCACCCTGTTTGTGTTAATTATTTTATTATTTTAAATTACGGGTTGATAAATATATTCAACAACATTACCAACAACTGTCTCATGAAGCAGTCGCACATCATGCTCAGGTAACGGAACGCAGAATTGTAGTTTTTGAATTCGACGAGCTTCTTTTGTCTACATATATTTTTTAAAAGTACATATATATTTTACTGATTTCATTCCGTGAACGTACCAAAGTTTGTAGTTGTAATTAACTAACTTGGTGATAATTTTAGCTTTAGTTCCTTTCCCACGTCTGAAGATCACATATGACAGTTGAATATAGCTGAAGCTTCGTAGCTAACACGATGCGTGTAATGAGGGTGAAAGCTATGCTGTCGATGAGTTTTGGAATATTGATAAAGATAATTTCTTACAGACTTAATCGTCGCGTGCTCGGATCAGAGTCGTCGCAATACTTAGATTTATCCGGCGTTCCATCATCGAGTGAATTGTTTACAGAAGACAAAATACATCGCGTCATGCATTTAAGCGGTAACTGTGTTTTTATTATTTCATCGTAATAATATAACTAGAAATATGTTTTTTTAACATTTCAATCCAGCTTAGCAATTACTAAACTAATTTGTTTATTTCCAACATTTAGGTCGTGACGCCTTAGCAACAGCTCTGCCTTTAATGAGGTACTTTACAAAACCGGGTAAGACTGACAAGATCACGCAAACAATATGGGTGGCCGGTGATTTGAACAAGAAAGATTCTAGAGAGTTACTCAGGAGCACTTTGACGTTTATGAGAGAATCGGGCGGCATACGAGTCGCTTTCATACCGAATGTGGAAGGGAGATTAGATGTGGATCAATCCTTGAACAAAGTCGTGTTGGCAGCCTTGACTGTGCTGGAACCGGCTAAAGCGACAAAATATGTCGCGCAGTTGTTGGACAACGAGGGATGTCACGAGAGACAAGACTGTGATGTACTGGTAAGTTAACTGTTAAGAAAGTTAGAAAGAATATAAAAAAAAAATCTTAGGATTGTTAGTTTAATTTTATGTAAGGTGAAGAAGAAAAAAATACAATTTACCGCCCATTTTCTTTCATAAAAAATTGGACATTAAGGGCAAGGACTCCGTTTTCTTGTTTGTCGAAAAGTAACGACAAGACAGCATAGCATCTTTGCACCGACCAATGGCAGAACATAAAGCTATTATTTTCTCACTGCAAGCGCATTTCCGCAAATAGTCTATTTGATGTAGCGCGTAGGCATTGTATTGTATAACTTGTGTCATTAAAGATAGGAATCGAAAATGCCGACACAAGCAATTCTGTCTCTCCCGCACGTTACTTAAGATAGCATGTGCGAGAGGGACTGAGTGTCTTACGTCGTCATTTGCGATTCCTTTCTTTAATGACACGAGTTAAACATAAATCTGAAATTAACATAATTTTATACAACAAATCCAGAAATGTTCCTCTAGCCTGAACTATTGCCCGCCTTGAACAAATACGAGTGGGTATTGAAAGCGACCCGCTTATGGTGCGCGCAGCTTCGCGTAGCAGAGCGTATGCGTTGTATTTGTAACATTATAAACTTGAAACTGTAAATAGTTTTATACCACTAATCCAAAAAATGTTCCTCCAGCCAGAACTATTGTCCGCTCTAAACAAATACGAGTGGGTGCTGAAAGCGGCTCGGGTATTGTGCGCGTGTAGCTTCAAACTGAGGCCAAGTGAATAAATTCTAAAAATTCTAAATATTCTAAAAATCCACTAATGTTCCTCTAGCCTGAACTTTTGCCCGCCTTGAACAAATACGAGTGGGTTTTGAAAGCGGCCCGCGTATTGTGCGCGCGCAGCTTCAAACTTAGACCGAGTGCGCGCGCTCTCATACACAACGCCAGGATCATTGGACCGCTTAATGATGGCGAGAAGTTTACTGTAGAGGACTTTATTCTGCTCGAGAGGTAAGGATTCGACCATTCTACTATTAGTTACCTTTTGTTTTTTCTTTTATTTTATTACTGTATAGGCCATAGACAAAGATAATGGACTGTGAGTTCCCTATCTGTCAAGTAAAACTGGGCAGATAATTTGAGAGACGAAGCGACAGGGCAGCTCATAGTTCGTATATTAATTGGTTGTTTTTCGTCTCTTTCTAGAGAATTAGCAAATTCATGCGAGTGTCGCCTAGTCTATTCTCTAAGTCTTTGGTGCAGGCCAATAAAGATACTGTATTTAATTAATTTTAGTTTCACTTCTGTAGTACCTATTTTGTTTTTGATTTCTTCCATACTTAGTCGTGATGCTGGAGTGGCATAATGCTCACGCATCATTTTTTCTCCCCAGAGCAATATTCTTTAGCGTAACTTTAACCTATTTCGTATAATTTTTCTTAAGTTTTTGAACTTTTCGTCAGATTACTAACTTGACTTAACTTTGTTCATCACAGGTTCACTAACCAAGTTTACGGAGATAAATTGTCTGAGACCCTTGGAAAGAAGAAAACTTCAACAAACGAAGTCAGCGATGATGATGATGGTAAGAAGTAACATGAGAAACTATCTCACTCTATTTTACTTTTCAGCAGGTTTGATAAACTAATACTCTTTTACAGACGATACGGCTACGGATTTATCATGCGACGAGCGTTTGAAAGTGATAGCGGTGTTAGCGTCGCGCAGCTCTCGCGTTCGCACGCCCTTACCCAGTGGGCTTCGGACCGAACATTCTTTAGTCGACTTGCCGCCTTTAATGCAAAACGAGCCTTCCATAGAGATAGTAGCCGTGCTAGACCCGGCTTCGAACGCCGCGCAACGATTAGCGCCTCTCCTATTAGTTCTGAGAAAAGTGGTCAACTGCCGTGTGAAGTTGTTCCTGAATCCACAAGATAAGAACTCTGATATGCCGTTAAAGAGTTTCTATCGTTACGTGTTGGAGCCGGAGCTGCAGTTCACGTCGTCGGGGTCGTTGACCGGCGGCGCTATAGCTCGATTCTCGCGACTGCCTCACGCCCCGCTTCTGTCCTTAGAGTTACGCACTCCAGCCAATTGGCTGGTGGAGTGTGTGAAGTCTGTGTACGATTTGGACAATATTCGCCTCGCTGACGTGGAAACTGTTGTGCATAGGTAAGTAAAAGTGCACTTTCAGACATAGAACGGTAATAAATTTTTTTACTATATTTCCTCTGAGTTATCGTTAGTAAAGATAATGATTTCGCTTCCGTGTAGATTATCGAATCAGCTGTCGGGGCATTATTTAACTGATCGAGAACAGAAAACCTCAAACAAAATATAAATGAGATCATGCATTACGAACATATCCAGACAAACGCAGCAGGGGACTATTTTTATAATGTAGTATGATAAATTGAAATATTAACTTTTATCATAGCTAACCTTGAGAAAATTACTAAGACCTTATTTCCACTAAGCGACTACTTGCCGGCAATCGCAGCTGCTAGCGACTAGCTTTGAAGGAATTGCTTGAGCAACTAGTCGCCCGCGACTCTCTAGATTACTGTATGGATGTCGAACAAATAACATGTCTTTACTTGTTAACAAAAACAAAACGAAAACATAGATTTTGGATACATCCATTGTTAAGAGAACGTTGCCTACAAAAGGCCAATTTTGTTTTTGTTTTTGCAGTCGCGGCCGCGTCAATGGAAATTGTATATGACTATCTGAATAAATATAAATCGCGCGCCGCTAGCTAGCCGCTTAGTGGGAATAAGGTCTTAAATCTTAAATATTCACTGACTTCGGACGAGCTTAAAAGTAGTTTAGTAAAACACCTAAGAATGAGTATAATTAGTTCTATGGTATGTTTACTAGCGAGTTCGAGCTCGAATACCTGCTATTAGAAGGCCACGCATGGGATACTACTCTGGGCACGCCCCCACGTGGGCTACAATTGGTCTTGGGCACCCGCGAGAAACCAGAGACTATGGACACTATTGTAATGGCCAACCTCGGGTACTTCCAACTCAAGGCGAACCCTGGTGCTTGGATCTTGCGTTTGCGACCTGGACGCTCAGAAGAAATCTACGAGATCGTTGGGTATGTTCTACTATCAGAATAAACGTAAGTAGCCTAGTTGTAATGCCAAAGCAAATGGCAGATTTGTGTTACAAAAATTTGAAACTATGATCATTTACTACTCTATTAGTGATTGTTGTAAGGATGTTGCCTATCTAATATTTTTATCAACAAATTTACAAATATCTCATACTATTGTTTAATACTGTGGTTACCCAGTCTGTATTTCTGTTACTTCTTAACAAATTACTCTCCCTATTTTTCAGCATGGAATAAGTATATTTTTATTTTTCGATATGAATTATGTCGAGACATGTTTTATTAACTCGAAACCCTTGTGCTAACATATAGGTTATATCGCCATTTTTAATTATTATTTGGCAATACTTCAACAGTAAAGTATTAATTTTGTTTCATAGCCACGAGAATACTGACACTCCAGCCGGCAGCGAAGACATCCAGGTCTTGATGAGTTCTTTCCGCAGTCACGTGATCAAGTTGCGAGTGAGCAAGAAACCAGAAAAACAACATTTGGAATTATTGGTTGAGAACGACGAGAAGAATTCCGGGGGTATTTGGAACTCTATTGCTAGGTAAGGACATTCACAATTTAACAAGACAATATTAGTAGAAAGAAATCCACTTGGTCTAGGTTTAGTATTGATATATGCAGGTTCGAATCCCGTATGAAAGCTGGATCGAGAGGAATTTTCTTTACATTGAAACATCCAGCAGTTAAATGCTTAAAATAAAAATATAAGAATAAAATATATGTAACATATCGGATACTTAAAATTGTATACTATAAAACAATGTTGCTTTTTATAGCATTCATTTTGTTAGGATTTTAATGTGATATAGATAATTTTACTGCAAACCATATCAAATGATATATAATTATCATACTAGTGACAGCATGTTTTAAAATAACGTGAGAATTTCTCTATATTAAGATGAAAAATTAATAATGTCATTATTTAAAAGCCAATTTTTATCTTTAATTAAATATGTAGCTTTGTACCCCTTTTTCTCAACTCTATTAAACTATGATTGTCTATGTTTGATCCGTCGAGCAGGATCTTACAGATTTAGTTTCGTGTCACTTTCATTGTTATTGCTCACACTAATGAAGGAACGAATCGAACATGGCGAAGCACTGCATTCTGTCCCTTTCGCGCACACTATCAGGATAATTTGAGAGGGAATGAATGTCTTGCGTGCGTCGGTTTTTTTTTAGTTTCTTGTCTTTATTGGTGCGAGTTATATTTAAATTACACGGATAAGTTTGTTTTGCCAGTTCTTTTGGTGGTGGTGAGGACCAAGAGTCGCAAGATGAGATCATCAACGTGTTCTCAGTTGCGTCAGGGCATTTGTACGAGAGATTCTTACGCATCATGATGCTGTCAGTTCTCAAGCACACCAAGTCGCCGGTCAAGTTCTGGTTCCTCAAGAACTATCTCAGCCCATCGCTTAAGGTTAGTTCGATCCGAAAATACAACGACTGTTTATTTTTTTATTTTTGACGACCTCCGTGGCCCATTGGTTTGTACGCCGGTGTCGCTGACTCGAGAGGTCCCGGGTTCAAATCCCGGTGGGAGCAGATGTTTGTGTGATGAATACGAGCATTTGTACTCCAGTCATGGATGTTTAATATGTATTTCTATAAAAATATACTTATATATGTACAGTATATATATCCATTACCCTAGTATCCCATAACACAAGCCTTATAGTGTTTACTTTTGGGCTAGGCTAATTGGTGTGAGTGTTGAAGATAATTATTTATTTATTCATAACTAGGAGCCCCGAAGCTGAAGAATTAATTTTGTGCAAAAAGGAAACTTTTTGCACAAAAATAATTCTTCAATCGCAGTCTTTGGTTCAAATTATGAAAAACTAGCGGGTGCCCGCAACTTCGTCTGCGTGGAAATATTGATTTATACTACGCCTGCTCGGAAAGTGCTTAAGAATAACATTCTAGTTTTAAAAATGAAGCAGAAAGGACCTCTTTACTGGTGTACTACTAAGTGAGCTGGAAAAGTGTATGGAAATCCGTTCTTAACGCACTGAGCGTGCAGAACTATGGAAATTCATTGTTAATGTGCTGTTTTTTTTTAATTTATGTTGTGAAAAGGGGTCAGTATGATTTTGCAGACTGCAATTTATTTTTTAACATTATACTGTTTAATTTCTGAATTAATTTTGAAAAAGTAAAAAACCAGCTTTTTATTTTAACTGAGTTTTTAATTGGTTTTCCTATCTACTGGAGACGGCGTTTATTAATGATAATGAAGATTAATTGACACCGCCGGAATTCAAAGAAACTACCTAAGCAGTCATTGAGAACCTTTACCCGTATAATCAAGAAACCAATATAAAGCTCCCCTGCAAAAGTTTAGTATCTGTAATAACTTTATTATAAATTTAAATTAAATATGATTTCTTTTTTCCTCGCAGGTATAGTATAAAACACTATGTATCCCCTTAAAGAAAGTGGTCCTTGGCTGCGCCTCATGCCTCAAGCTACACCATCGTTAGTAATCGGTCACTTTCTCTTCTTGCTGAACAATTTTCTATTCTCATACAAACTTTGAAACTCCGACTTACTCTTTTAGGAAGTAAGTTTTTGGAAAATCCTCTCTTAGCTCACACCTACATCATAGTAGCTATATGTGTACTAAAGGACATTGGGCAAAGATGTATGATGGCTGCACCCACGTCCGCCACGGCTTAAACTACATTTGTTTGAAAGAAGTTGTAGTCGTGATTATCTGTGCCGAAGCGCAGCGAATTCCATCCCGGGGTTTTTTAGTTATTTTAAATTAAATAGGTATGAGTACTATAACTAACGAATATGAAACAAGGGAAATAAATATGAAACATTTATGTCATTACAAATATTTTTAATAATCTTTGCCCACAATCACAGTGTCTAGAAGAGAGCCGCAGTGTGAATGTTCTCTTCACGTCTTGCCAGACCTAAAATCCATAAGTGTGTGAGTGTATTTTTGCTCGCAAAAGCCACAGAAATGACCGTGCTCAGCGTGATAGCTTTTAGCTAACTTCAGCTGGTTACGTGCCCAGAGCAAAAATAATAAATCACCATACCTCTACCCCGTAAACCGTTTTGATGCATCTCGCTAAATCCAAGCGCGTGATGGTCGGCAGGCTTTGTAACATATCTGGTTATATAGTATGATATGACTTACTTTATTAGGGCTACTAATAATACAAATTAAAGGCACTATTGAATGAATTAATTTAGCTACTTTAATATGCCCATGTGTATATCTTTCGACCACCGGGATATTTTTTTACAGTGTCATAATAAAAAAATGCAAATTTTTCATAGATCTTCCGAATAGGCTAGTGTACTCATGTCGAATTATATTAAATAAATGTTTATTTCTTAAAGTATTTAGTCTAAGGAACCTTAATATATCGATTTCACTTCATAAAAGCAGAAGATTGCTGTAGAAATTTAATTTTAAAAAATATTTTTTAGTCTATATTTTTTAAACACTAAAAACGCTGTTCGCCACATCCGCCATGATTTTGACGTCTCTTGTGGTAAACAACTAAATGTCATTCGCGTGTTACTGTAGGTGGATTCTTTCGTCTGACTTTTATCTTAAAACACTTAACTTGAGGAAAGAAAAAAACATTGACAAAACTAATTATGGATGCCGGCTTTGTGAAACCAGAAAGCACAAAGCTGCCAAGAATTGACGCATTGATGGTTGGTGAATTTGTTGCACTAAACCCCGATTTCTGCTCTGCGGAGCAGAGAAACGACAAGGCATCTATGTAAGTACAGTGCATTTAGTATTACAATGTAGTAATAAACATAAAACTGATACAACATATGAATAAATGTAATAAAGTTGCGTAGGTTAATTTCTTTCGGCACTTTAATCCACAACTTTCCTGGAGTCTTCAAGGATGTGTTTTTATATTCTCGTACAATACAGTAATGATAATTACTTTAGTTTTCGTGGTATTTATTAGAAATCATGTTTTTTTTTATTATAAACTCAGTTAAAAGTAATTTTCTATGTGTTTACGAGTTTTTGTTTACCACAGTTCACGTCATAGCATAGATAATCTATAGACTAAAATGGCCGACAGCGTTTTTGTATGTCCATGAAAAGTCTATTTTAAAATTAAAGATTTGTAGCTTTCTAGGTTTAAAAAAATACAATACATTTTTTTTCGGTCTAATAGAACATTTATTAACCATTTAAAACCTTATTCCAAAAAGGGTCAACTAGCCTATTATTCTAATTACATTGTTGGAGCTGAGTGTTTATGCCCATTGTCCTTTCACTGCACCGTTCAGTGGTTTGAGCTGTGCGTCGATATATCAGTCGATCAGTAACGGTTGCCTTTTATATATACAGATAATAAAGGTTATGTGCAATCAGCCATTTTGATTCCTGACCCACCATAAGCTCATTTTGTTACAACCTTTTCAAAACAGTAAGGTTGATTTTTGCTTAAATGTACGTATCTCTAGTAAAAAACATGTTATTTCCTGAACAATCGTATTTGACGTGTAGATTTTGCCGCCTTCTTGTGACAAATTTTTGACATTAAATTATTTGGAGTTTTGCACATGGACTAATTAATTACCAACTTTTTTATAATATTAAGAAATCGAAAGAGTTTCTGTTATTACGATTTTACGATTTTAAAATTGATTTCAAAATTCAAAATACTATTCCAATTTTATCTATAACATGAACCTCTTGCATAAAAATAAAGATCAAATTTCAAATACCTTTATCCATATTAACACAGATTCCTTGTTATTACAAGGTACTAAGCGCAATTACGCATTCTCTACAAAGGAAAACTTGTCTGTTTTGACATTTTTAAGCGAATTATATCGGGCAAGTAGTACTTACCTACTTGGTCAGGAATCAGTTAGTCCGATGGTATTCTTGGCAATAAATATTACTGACGAGCCTATCACATATGTTTTGGTCATTGCCGTAGGATATCTTGCCGTACATGGCCCAAGAATACGGATTCGAATACGAGCTGGTGCAATACCAGTGGCCGCGCTGGTTGCAGAGACAACGCGATCGCCAACGCACCATCTGGGGGTACAAGATTCTCTTCCTCGACGTGCTGTTCCCGCTGCACGTTAAGAAGATCATATTTGTCGACGCTGATCAGGTACCTACCTTATGCCAGCACTTAACTTGGCTATTCGTTTCTGTTATTTGTAAACTTGCCATCAGTCTGTCCTTATAGAGCTCAAAATGAAATGAAATAACTTTATTGCTTAAAAATTGTGTATAATTTTGCAGTTGGAATTGTAACAAGGAATGGATAGGATAGACTGATGTCGAATTTTCAAATAGCAAACACGAATAGCCAAGTGTCAGCATTATATAATTATTGCTATGTCGTCATCATCTATTTCCCTACAAGTTACAGAGAACAAGTCATGAAAAAAACGAATACATTTTTTATAGAAATGTAGGTAGAATATTTTGCACTATTTCTTCCATATTACATTTATGGCTGAATTACACTTGGTCGTTAGTCCATATTCGGCTGCACGAAAGACATAACTCGAATCCGGGCACCCGAAGCAATATCTACACTGGAATACTGGCTGGAAGACGGTGTCGGGTAACCATAACGAAAACTACTCGAATACAGGCGTACTCGACTCCGTTCAATTACACTTAGTTGGATACCTGAATTCCATTGACACTTGTTTTCGGGCTAAAGACCAAGTGTAATCGATTCGTGTCCGATTTCTAAACTCGCTACTGTACTTATCGAAGTGTAAATCAGCCAGGCAATTAATTAATATTTAATATAATTGCTGATTGGCTGATTTGCCAATCAGCAATTATATTAACAAAATATTGTATCGACATTTAGTGCAAACAGTGATTTGTCAATTTTTTAAAATAAAACTATTGTTATTCAATTTCTTTAGATTGTGCGGGCGGACCTGAAAGAGTTGGTAGAGTTAGATTTGGGCGGAGCGCCGTACGGATACACACCGTTTTGCGACAGCAGGAAGGAAATGGAAGGATTTAGGTAAATATTTTTTTTACTAGAAATTAGTCAACTCTGACATGATGTCAGACAGTTTATAGACACGAACCAGCGTTTATTCGCAATCTGGCAATTACAATAACCCCTATGCTACCGAGATGTTAATGACCTGAATGAATCTTTTTAATGGGCTCATCTGTATAAAAAAAAATCAGGCAGTTTAATGCTTAAATAAAACTGGTAAATATAGTGTTTAATAAATCATTCTGATCGGGTTTGAGATAGTTCAAACCTAGTCAAAACAGCGCCAGCGCCAGAAATTTTATCTAACCTAACCTCTAAAGACTGTCTTCTTTGCTCCTCTCGTTTTTCACGCCAATCTGTTGCTATTCTGTCTGCGTAGCGACCTCGAGAGTAGTAGCGAGCACAGTTGAAACTCTTTATTCGAACTACTAACCCTACCCAAAGTAATAACTGAACGTATTTTTATTAGCGCGGTAGGCTAATGTCTCTACCCTACCTGATGTTAAGTGGTGGCAGCAGTTATAAATTGCTACACTAACCATTCTCATTTGCAGACTCCAGATTGTAGGAAGGAGAGATCATGTGCCAAATAATTCCACTTGTGAATAGTATGACAAAGAAATGAGTCACCAAAGGCTTTAGCCGTCCTTCCATAAGCAAATTGCCCCCGATAGGAACCTGTATTGTAACCTCTGTTATATTGTAGAGGGTACTAATAGTAGTTCATTGAGTAGGTATTAGCTCTATATCTTAGGTAATAAAGGAGCTATTTCAAAAAAAGTGTTATGCGGCGTCTTTTTTCAAAGTGATATGTCTCTGTTGATTTTAAAGATAGAAAAAAAAAACAATGTTTATGGTACACTCTACAGTTTATTTTATATTTATTTTCATGAGCCAAGCCTAAATCAAAATATTTAAAAAGTGTAAACAAATATTTTTTTATTGATTTCTATCAAATAGTTTTGAATTACCACTTTGAATAAAATATATAATACTTATCTATACCTGGTCTAACAGCATGTCAAGTTTCATTAAAATCCAAATGCAACATGTTGAAAAAAAAATTAAGCAAGTGGACCACCTTGAGACTACTTTGATAATACTTTCAAATTATATTAGATTTTAATAACCTTTAACAAAGTTACGTTTTGGCAGTTTATAAAAAGTACATAAACGGTTGTTGTATAGGAATAGTGACCACAGTAAGTCGGTGACAACGTAGACCAGCGCATTCTACCAAAAATGAGAAAAAAATGGAATACATTAACGTTACCGATATGCTTAGGTTCTGGAAGCAAGGGTACTGGCGCAACCACCTGCAAGGTCGCAGCTATCACATCAGCGCTTTATACGTGGTCGATCTGAAGCGGTTCCGCCGCATCGCTGCCGGCGACCGCCTGCGAGGCCAGTACCAGGCGCTCAGTCAAGACCCCAACAGTTTATCGAACTTGGGTGAGATATGAACACATACACTTGTATACTAGACATACATACAGGAATATACCACATCAGCGCATTATACGTGGTCGATCTGAAGCGATTCCGCCGCATCGCTGCCGGCGACCGCCTGCGAGGCCAGTACCAGGCGCTCAGTCAATACTCCAACAGTTTATCCAACTTGGGTGAGATATGAACACATACACTTATATACTAGACATACATACAGGAACATACCACGTCAGCGCATTATACGTGTTCGATCTGACCGCCTGCACTGCCAGTACCAAGCGCTCAGTCAAGATCCCAACAGTTTATCAGACTTGGGTGAGACATGAATACATGCGCTAATGTAATAGACAAACATCAGGGACATACCGCATCAGCGGGTTGTACGCGGTTGGTCTGACTACCTGCGCGGCCAGTACCAGGCGCTCAGTCAAGATCCCATCAATTTATCAGACTTGTGTCAGACATGAATACATACGCTAATATACTAGACGAACATACAGGATCATACCACATCAGCGCGTTAAACGTGGTCGATCTGACCGCCTACGCGGCCAGTACCAGGCGTTCAGTCAAGACCCCAACAGTTTATCCAACTTGGGTGAGACATGAACACATACGCTCAAATACTAGACATACCTACAGGAACATACCACATCGGCGCGTTATACATGGTCTATCTGACCGCCTGCGCGGTCAGTACTAGGCACCCAGGCAAGACCTAAACAGTTAGACCAACTTGGGTGACACATGGACACGTAATGATTCATCAACAATTTTATCATTGACTTAGCTAGAATTATTTCTTAAGGGTATCTGTTTGAACTAACATAAAAGGTTTAACACATAACTGTTTCAACTCTTCCGTTAAAACATATAGAGTAATATCCCAAGGCCACCAGAACTTACTTATTTTCTGATGGACAAAATATGTATAATTAAGTGGTATAAGTGGGCTCAATTAACATATACATACTCGCTAACTTGTGCCGTGGATCAGAATTATGTTTCTAACACGAAATCGTTCACCCGCGAACGTATTCGCATATGTTCTACACGACAGATAAAATTAATCAATAAATTGTTTTCACAGATCAAGATTTGCCCAACAATATGATACACCAGGTAGCGATTAAGTCGTTGCCACAAGAGTGGCTGTGGTGTGAAACGTGGTGCGACGAAAACTCCAAAACCTATGCAAAAACCATTGATTTGGTAAGAAGACATGAAATTTTATCATTCTCATCCTATTTATTTCACAGGACAGACCTTTCTTATGGATGGAATAGGAAGATTGGGCTATGACTATGGCCCACGATGCTCACCTAGTTGATTGGTGGGAGTTAACTACTGCAGATACAATAACTATTCAAATTCAGAATCAAACTCAGGTTTGCGCTTGCACGGCAAATACATCGCCATTTCTTCCCCTTCCCTCTCTTCAGGACATAACACTGGCGCTACAGAGCAACATCACCATGCTCGGTATGGAAGGTCGCTCAGACCTGAATCCAAAGGACTACATCGAAACCGTGATCAAAACAGCTTCCCGCAAATTCGGAGTCCTGAACAAGGTGCGGCGTTTTTTCACGCCCGATCAACTGTGCTTGTTGTAGAAAACGCAAGTGCAGTCCTGCGTGGAATATTGCTCGCACCTCTGGGATGACTCCGCTAAGTACATACTCGATGTCGTGGTTAGGTTGCAACGGCGCGCTGCCCGCATCATTGGCGATAAAGAGGTAACTAAGAAACTCGAGTCTACAATTACGCCGCGATGTGGCATCATTAAGCGCATTCTACCGACTATACCACGGCGAGTGTTCTGAGGAGTTATTCTCCCTTATCCCTCCATCACCATCAGAGGACCACGCGCGCTGGCCTACGTTGCCACCGACTTAGTTTGGCCACTATTCTTACACGAACTAAGAAATTTGGTGGCTCATTTCCTTGTCGTACTATTCGTAAGTGGAATTCTTTGCCCGCGCACGTGATCTTCCTTCCTACAATCTGGGGTCCTTTAAGAAGGCGTAAAGAAGCATTTTTGCAGGCCGGCAAGGTGAGGATGGTTGGTGTAGCAGTTTATAACTGCTGTACCAGCTAACTTCGCGTTTGGACTTTATCACCTCCTAACATCAGGTGGGGTAGAGTCATTTGCCTACCTTGCCTTACCTCGCATATTTAAAAAAAACCGCTTGCACCTCTTTACCATCGGACGACGAGACGTACACAGGGACTTCATCCGTACGTAGTTGACATTCCTCCACTGCGTACCTCACTATTTGCATCCGCAGCTTTAACCGTCGGACGACGAGACGTAGACAGAGACTACATCCGTACGTGGTTGACATTCCTCCACTGCGTACCTCACTATTCGCATCCGCAGCTTTTTACCGTCGAACTACGAGACGTAGACAGAGACTACATCCCTACGTGGTTGACATTCCTCCACTGCGTACCTCACTATTCGCATCCGCAGCTTTTTACCGTCGGACTACGAGACGTAGACAGAGACTACATCCGTACGTGGTTGACATTCCTCAACTGCGTACCTCACTATTCGTATCCGCACCTTTTTATCATTGAACGACGAAACGTAGACAGAGACTACATCCGTACGTGGTTGACATTCCTCCACTGCGTACTCACTATTCGAATCCGCATCTTTTTATCATCGGACGACGAGACGTAGACAGAGACTACATCCGTACGTGGTTGACATTCTTCCACTGCGTACCTCACTATAAGTGGTGCCTTCTGAAGCATAGAGCAGTCTTTTTTACCTTCACGATATCAGACCGAACGCAATAACCGCTCGCGCCATCAAAGATGATTATACTCATATACTTTTGAATAGTATTCCATTATAGGACGAGCATGAAATACATGTATCGATAGCGACGGATAAGTGAATCTATTTTAAAAGGGTGCTGCGCATGAACCTAAATATATTGCGTCGCTAGCAAAACTACATTTTTTATTACTATAGACTCATAGCTCATTAAAAAGCAATCATAGCAAACTTAACAATAAACGGCCGTTCAGAGTCATGAAATAAAATCACGTGTTGTCTTATTAATTTATTGTATTATTATGTTATCGCAAAAAACTAGCACTAACTTTATTCAAACTTTTAAAGTTAATTGATCTCTCAATGTCCGGGCGTAAAACATTTAAGGCTGTTTTATCGAAAGTTAAATTTGGCTATATTTAATGCCATTTCAAATACATAGTAAATGTGTCAAATTTTGACAAATGGCAATTTTTTGCTATAGGTTTTAACTACAGTCAAATTTAACTGTCGGTAAAACAACGCGACCTAATACTAAGTATAAAAGTTGTAACTTATAGTTCAATAGGCTATTTGACAGTATTAAAAATAAAGTAGCAATTGTTGGCATATGTATTTAATATGAATATTAGCAGCGATTTTACTTTTCTGAAAGAAAAGTAATTAATAAATTTTCTATAAAATCATTAAATAGAAATGATTATTTCTCTCCATGGTCACATGACCGAAAACGCCTGGGATTGGCCAAGACTAAAATGATTTCACACGCTAGTAAACTTCCGGCCAAAGTGACATTACATTGTATCATTTGACGTTTTAATGACAGTCGTGTGACGTCACATACTAGTGAGACGCTATAATGCCCAAAGAAATGTTTTCACGGCATCTTGAAAATTTAATTTTTAATTAGGTTTCTGAATTCCACAACAGAATTAAAAATATCCACTTTTTATGGATTCCATAAACATAAGTCAATAACGTGAGATCGTTTTCTAAATCTTTTCAAATACCTTGTTGTTTGTATAATAAGTTGGCATTTGTTTCTTTGTAGTGCAATAACCCCATGACGAAAGAAGCGAAATTGTCAGCGGCGATGCGTATAGTGCCCGAGTGGCGCGTGTACGACGACGAGGTGAAGGGTCTACAAGCGCGCGTGCGACGCGGACTGTACCAGGCGGCCGACCACGACCAGGTCAGACTGATATGAACCCTATCTGTATGTACATACAGCTCTCAGTCACAGTATGACGACAAGGTGAAGGCGCTGCAGGCACGGATAGTACCAGGCGGCCGACTACGACCAGGTCACACTGATGTGATCCATATCTTTATTTATATACAGCTTTCAGTCACAGTACGATGACAAGGTGAAGGTGGATTGTACCAGGCGGCCGACCACTACCAGGTCACATTGATATGAACCCTATCTTTATGTACATACTGCTCTCAGTCACAGTACGACGACGAGATGAAGGCGGATTATACCAGGCGGCCGACCACGTCCAAGTAACACTGATGTGAAACCCTATCTTTATGTACATACAGATGCACTGACCATTATGCTACCATAACCCACAATGTCAAACGAATACTATTATGCTACCGCGGCCTTAATTATTATTCATTTGACATTGTCGGTTACCTACAATGCGAAGAGATGGCGCTGACTTGCAGCTAAAGAAATACTAGAGAAGCCGCGGTAGCATAATGGTCAGTGCATCCGCCCGGATAGAGGAGGGTGTTGTTTCGAGACCCGTCTGCTGCCTGGTCAGCGTGGAAGTTTTTCAAGTATAATTTACTTTTGGTTTAATCGTTATTATATATTTTTATTCCTAAAGTTATGTAAAGATTATCGTTTCAATCGACTTTATCCCATATTATCATTTCAAATAACAACCTAGGCACAATGAAAGAGGTGATTTTGCACCATGTAGTATTTAAAATAATAGAAACATATTCACAATCTATAGTATTTTTGTATCGTAAAAGGAAATTCGAAAAACTTATACTCATTATCCAAAATAATTAACAACTTACAAGATGATAGTCAATTTGAATTACAATTTTTTTCATGATATTTTTTTTGCAGGAAGTGGACACTGGACATGACGAAGTAACTGGAGCGAGTGAAAGTGCAAGTTGGTAATTACTTTACTTAAAGTAGAAAATTATTTATTTAATACAAAGAAGCACTAACTTATTTAAAATATTGACTAAACGTTTTGTTTGATGTGGCAATTTGTCGAAATAACGATATATTATTTTCTATCTCTTACAGAAAAAGGACACGAGAAGCACACCGAATTATGATGAACTAAAGTGATTATATTGAAATCGTAGGCTTTAATAGTTATTCCAATTTTGTTATTGGTATGATTACTAATTTGTTTGTGGCTAAATGCTCTAGTGTGTCGGAATGAGAGAGTCATTGACGTACTAATGACTGATTTTCAGTTAACTGCTCACTCACCAATAGAATATAGTAGATAATTTTGACGTGATAAATTAGACTTTGAGAATAAGACGGATATAGAAGACGCGCATTTTGAAAAATAATCCATCATCTGGCTAGGATCAAGTCGTATAATGTACGTTTCTTCACTTACCGGCGCGCCACGGAGTGCAGCACAGCGCATATTACAATTTCCTAAAAGATTTGCATTGCGGAACCGAGCGGCTGAAGCAGAGCCCGAGCGCAGCCGAACATAGAGGTATAACAATAAAGTAGGGGAGATACAGACTCCACTACAAGTGGAAGTGTCCCTCTAATAGAAAGAGAAAGAAGATGAAAGCCGCTAGCTTTCTCTCTCTAATCGCGAATGCGCATTAGCAACCGTAAGCATCTTACTATTTCGATGTGATGCCATTGGATGCCATGCGTCACAAGGACAGCTAGCGGTCTCTCATCTTCTTTCTCTTTCTACTAGACGGACACTTTTAGAGCCGCCTTCCCCACTCTATTCTTAACCTCTATGCAGCCGGACGGCTTCATAGCTGTTTGAATTGCATTAAAATAAGGAACTTAACTACTTTGTGGATGTTTTAATTTTCTTCAGCAAATTGTAAAACCATCGCGTGCCGGTAAGTGGAAATCGTACATAAATCAATTTTACGATGGTAGACTAAATTAGGTGATCGCACTTGCCAATCAAAATTAGCAAATTGTTAATTTTCAATTCATTAGTAACTGGGCGAATTAGATTTATCTGTTTTGCTACTTTCGAACGCTTTTAAATATACATAGATGAAGCACAGAATTCCGGCTTAGAATCGATTAATATTTAATTCACCTATGTCCTTGACAGTTCTAAAGTGGCTTAGTATTTGCTGCATTCCGTGCTATGTGATAAACATGCGTTTTTATATTAATCGTACAAGCCGCTTATTTGCCGTCTCTCAAATATTTATCCTTTTTTTTCTCTGGCCTATTTACCATCGTACCTTAAAATAAGATAGTACATGCTGCTTGGTAATGCCGAGACTGACTTCAGCAAATTTTCGCTTATAAATAGAACAGATCTTTATTTTAAAAGGATTTTGTAATATTAGTGTGTCACTCATTTTAGCTCTTCTATAGTTTGTCTAGCACTTATTATAACACTGATATTACACACAGTCGGACTTAAAAAGGTTGGTTTGTTTAGGTAAATATTTTATTATTAATGCGGGCACTTCACTTGGCTGTTCGTGTTTGCTTTTGTAAACTTGACATTAGTCTGTCTTTTTCATTTTCTATAAACAATGATAAGGACAAACTGTTGTCAAGTGTTACAAATAGCAAATAGGAATAACCAAGTGAAATGCCGGCATAACAATAAATATACTTGGTCCACTTCATTAAAATGAACTAAGATGCACAAGCGAGGCATGGTGTTAGTGTTCCTTAAATATTTTTTGTCATGATAGTAGTATAACAATAGCACAAGCTATTTTTGTGACAAAATAAAAATATAATTTCATTTCTTGTTATTCATAAAAGTCCCTTTTTGTTCGTCTGTTGTAGGCTTATATGGATTTATGAAAGCAGAAGACTTTCATTCGAAACGATCCCTTTTTACGTTTTGTTCAAAATTGCCAAAGACTGCGTAATTAGTACTTATGTAATGCATTAGTTATGATGGCATAGGCATAGTGTAATAGTTAGAGTCTATAATTTTGTCAGTCGATAACATTGGATCGAATAAGCCCACTTTACACATCCACAGAAATATTAAAATACATCTAGAATTCGTGCACATTCATACGTTATGTAACGAAAACTAATGTAACTTTACCGTTCGAGTGAGATCGTTCTGTCCTGATTTATTCTTAGTAAGGGAAAGTGATATGATTTTTTTAATTTTTAATAAAAGTTTTACTACCGGGCTCCTCTCTTTCGAAGTGTCGTGTACCTAGCGCCAAACATCTTGCACGGAAACATAGACGATTCAGTACGTGTTCACATGTTTGTCTGTAATATTTCTCGCTATCTTAATTGTCTATGATTGCATTGGAGATGTTGGCCATTGTAAAAGTTGCACTGGTGATGATTTATTTTTTATATTCTGTATTTCATTTGGTATTTTTCAAAACTTTGATTTATATGATATACATATAAGATTATTCTTAAATATAATAAAATATATTTAATTTCCAAGCTTGTAAACACATTGATTTATAATAATAGTTCAATATGTCTCCAAAACAATTTTAAGGGTGCAAGTATGCCCCGGTAATCTTCTTGAGTATAACCATAGACAACCAAGTCCATACAGTAGCAATTTTACATACTAATAGTTACTGCGCAAGTTTATTTGTCTATAGCTTTACTCAAGACGTTTGCCGCTACCTATATCTTAGAAGTGGTCATAAAGTTCAGTCATGTCAAACACTTTTTTCATGTAAATAAATTAATGAAGAATATGAGTACTGTATTTTTATTTCTCTAAATACTACTGTATTAAAAGAAACTAAAGACGATACTAAGTACAAATTTTTATTTACAAATGAATTGAACTTTTGCAGTCGGATAATAATATAATATAATTATTATTACAGTAAAACTATATAAAATAATCTCCTGATAATGATAATTTTAACATAACCCGTTTTTGAGGGTTATAAAACTGTTAATACTGATGTTTTAAAATATTCTATAAGGTAACATTACAGTGATGTATAAACATAATGCTCTATTAAAACAAAATGCTAATTAACGGCCTTAAGAAAGTATGTATATTATTTCAGTAGATGTTAATGATATAAATAAACTTTATTAAAGTATTCTTTACAGAAGTTCTCAATATATGTTAGTAACAAGCATTCGTCGTTATTTTTTCATAATTAACAAAAGTAGCCAGGCAATTAATAATAATCCCTTACCAGTGAGGGGTTTGAGAACTGTCGTTATTAAGATTAAAATAGTTTAATGAATTAAACTATAAAGAAAGAAATATTTCTTGCAATAGGTAAGTAATCAGTGGCTCGAGCTTAAATTTTCACAGAACCGTGTTCCAACGTCAAGGTTTCTATGGAAACAAAGTAGCTAATGGACGTAAGAACAAACTAGATTTTTCTACATAAACTTTGACGTGTCGAAACGAATACTTTCTCGCTAGTTGTTCATGCTTGGGGTACAGTAAAGCCTTAGAGGGGTCTTTATATTTTCTTTTATTACAACATATTATTTAATCACACAAAAAATCTCGAAGTAGCTACGTAGTACTGGATGGTAAAATTTACCTTAGCGATTTAGTCGTCTGAAATGTCAAAAATTTATATACAAAATTTTGATTCTACATTAATCATTATGCTTGATATTACGAAATATCTACATCTACTTTGTGCTGAGCAATATTTACAGCGTCAAAATTCGTGGACTACATTTAACGATAACTTTTTAAACCTTTATTGTCATAATATTAGTTTCCGAAATGAAACATGAAAAGATATGTTTTGAGTGTAGCTAATAATAAAAATAATACTAGTTTGCTAAGTACTGTCATACGATTGATTGTGTATGTATTCGTCAATTTCTACACTTAGCTATATGAAACTAAACTAAAAGAACCTTAGTTTATAACAGCTACAATATTTATACAAGGGAAAACATTCAATAAATTAAGGGATGACTAGTTGTCATAGGCACGGTAATATTATCTATACAGTATTGTGACTCCGCCCTGTCCTTGAAAATAAATGCCTACACCGAGCGCTGTGTTGGCACGCGGTAGGGCCGCCCGCCTACAGTATTTAATGTAGTTTTGTTTTTAACGCGAGTGTAGGTAGATTACTTGTTTGTCTCTTTTTTCATCCTAACCACTTATTTATAAACAAATAACGTACTAGTAGATAGGTATATAAAAAATATTCTATAAAGGTAAGACACCTTTCCAATATTTCAGGTAATTTAAAAAATGATATCTCTGGGTGTGTTATTGAAGAGTTCAAGCAACCAAAAACAGCAATTGTGCTGTTGTACGATATTGATCGTCGTTTGTTCTTTTCAATACTAAATTATGTAGTTATCTACTTAATTAAATCAAATATTTACAATACAAAACGCACGTTTAAGCACGGCTAACTGCATAAAAAACAATTCAGACCGTTCGGTCGTCGTTGCGGCGCGGCGGCGCATTCGCGACTGGGTGCACGCCGAGCGCACATCGAACTCGAGTGGCGTAGGTATGACTCGCTTTCCGACCGTTTGTATGAAGATAGAATACTGTATGATATTATTACCGTGTCATAGGTCTACAAAAATATGCTTCGGTGGATTTATTCTTTGGTATTGAAATTGGGAATTAATTAAAATTTCGAAAATTATATCGTAAATCTTTGTAGGTAAATCCTATGGATTTTCATTTACTATATTGCCTCTTTGAATACTGTAGCATTAATTTCATTAACAGATGTAGAATGGAAAATCATCTCTCAATTCATAAATGCTAATATCGAGTGTTGATGAGGGTGTGGGCGGCACATCAGTTGCAGTAGTAATCCTTGGTAGTGATGCGGCACAGCTGGCAGTCGACGCGGCAGCACTAGTGGTAGCGGCAGCGGCAACACTCCAGCCAGCTCGAGCGTTGAGCTCGCTCGCTAGTGGTGTTGATGAGGGTGGGGGCGGCACATCAGTTGCAGTAGTGTTCCTCGGTGGTGAGGCGGCACAGCTGGCAGTCGACGCGGCAGCACCAGCGGTAGCGGCAGCGCTCAAACCAGCTCGAGCGTTGAGCTCGCTCGCTAGTGGTGTTGATGAGGGCGGGGGCGGCACATCAGTTGCAGTAGTGTTCCTCGGTGGTGAGGCGGCACAGCTGGCAGTCGACGCGGCAGCACCAGTGGTAGCGGCAGCGCCCTAACCAGCTGAGCGCTGAGCTCGCTCGCTTGTAGTGTTGATGAGGGTGGGTGCGGCACATCAGTTGCAGTAGTGATCCTCGATGTTGAGGCGGCACAGCTGGCAGTCGACGTGGCAGCATCTATGGTAGCGGCAGCGGCAGTGCTCCAGCCGGCTCGAGTGTTTAGCTCGCTCGCTTATGGTGTTGATGAGGGTTAAGGCGGCATATCAGTTGCAATAGTGATCTTCGGTGGTGAGGCGGCACAGCTGGCAGTCGACGCGGCAGCACCAGTGGTAGCGGCAGCGCTCCAGCCGGCTCGAGAGTTTAGCTCGTTCGCTTGTAGTGTTGATGAGGGTTATGGCATATCAGTTGCAGTAGTGATCTTCGGTGGTGAGGCGGCACAGCTGGCAGTCGACGCGGCAGCACCAGTGGTAGCGGCAGCGGCAGCGCTCCAGCCGGCTCGAGCGCACGGCGCGCCGCCCGCGCCCGCAACACAGCCGTCCGCACCCGCCCGGACCGCTACCTAAACTCGCGTTACATTTTCTACGAATAAAAAGTAGTTTCAATTAGTAATTTAAAAAAAGTTACGCAGGAATATGAATGATATTGCAGTTTATGTGGGTGAAAAATTCCGAATAGAAAAGGAGATTGTCGGTGGACTGGTTATTCGCACCTTCCGTGCGTTCCCAAGGAGCCGGCAGCTACATCCGGCTCGCAGTAGTCAGGGCTGGGAGTGACGTATCGCAGGCGGGGTTTGGCGCGCCGTGCTATATGGCGCCGGGGTCGCAGTGGACCGGCGCGTGTTGCCTCCGCCGCCAGAGTGGCAGCCACACGAGCCAGCGGCGGCAGTGCTCGCCAGCAAGTGCGCACCGAACACGACCCGGATACACCGTGACATGTGCACTTTGTCCGCATACCGCTCGACACTGCCTGATTAATCATAAAAATAAGGTATTACAAACTTGAAATAATTTCTGGAACCTAATTTGACGTTGAACTCGACACAATGTTATCATAAAGGTATTTCAACCGAGTTAAAGGGAAATAACTTTGAAATACCTTTCAGGTAAGTGGTCTAATTTTTATTAATTTTAATGTCTTTGATTAATACAAATAGGGACGATACAGCACTCGCCGCTCATAAGTGATCCGCTTAAATTGTGGTGCATGACCATATTTCGCTTTAGTCCCAATTGGACATTCAAAAACGCTGCATGTTCACTCAATATAACAATATTGCATTTATTCTGTGTTATAAAAATAAACAATACCTTCGATGCTTTTATAAAGAACACAGATAGTTCAAAATCAAATAACAAATGCCTCGGCAACACTGTTTATTCGCAAAACTGTAAAAACATTTTTTTCTCAAAAATCACGTTTTGTCGCATGGAGGTTAGAGAGGAGAACGATCGCTACGTACTAAAGAATTAGCCCGCCTGACCCTGAAAATTTGTATAAACCACAAAATTTTCAGCCACCAGCCGCGCTGCCGTCGCATCGGTAAGTAGTATCTGTGAAGTTAGCTGTTTATGAGTATAATTAGATGAAGTTAGTTGAATATTGTACAAATTTTCTTCGCGGCATTGGTTATTTCAAATTAGTCCGCTTTTATTGAGACACCTTAGCGAACGCAGCGCCTCACTTATATTGTCCATATTTTTATGACACTATTTTCTACAGCGATCGTTCTCCTTATCACTAACCTCTATGGTTTGTCGTGAATGTTATTAACGTAATCGCCATTTTGTTATCAACAATACAGCTCAGCCGTACGGACTTGGAAGTGGACTCGCCTTTTCGCTCGCGCTGCGTTGAAGCGTACAGTACTGTCTCGCTCGCTCGATTGAATGGATTATATACAGATGTGTGCGTGTGTGAGAGTTGCTTATGTAGTTGAGTCGGATCATATTTTATTTGATGCTAGTATGAGCGTACAATTAATTATATACAGACGTGTGCGTGTGTGAGAGTTGCTTATGTAGTTGAGTCTGATCTTTTTTTATTTGATGCTTAGTATGAGCGTACCGTATCTTCCCTTTTTGTTTTAATCTAAGTGTATGCAGTAGGCGAATACCTTTCTTCCGAAGCGTCCGTTGAGCAGATTAGCGGAGGCGATGAGCGGTCGCAGACGTTCGAGGCGCGTGTTCAGGTCTACTTGTGGGTCGAAACGCGGGTCGTCCGCCGCCATGCGGTACTCGATGTTACGGTAGCGAGATCCTCTATCTTCGTACTCGTATCTAGTCATTACCATAATGAAAATGACGCATTTTTTTCATGCATAAAGGTTCGCGCGCTCATGAAAGCCACACGATACTCGACTCTTGGCGCCAAATCAGTGTTTACAGACAAGATTTATGTAGGCTCGTATTACAGAACGACAACTAAGTGTTTATCTTCACTTGAGTACAGTTAGAAAGGAATGTCGCTATGTGCTTTAAATAGCGACATCCCTTTCTAACTGTGCTCAGGACTAGATCAATCACTGCGTATCTTTCTATAATACGGGCCTAAGTGGTCTACCGAGTATGCCAGCAGCGGGTCGCGATGCGGGTTGTTACAAAGTAGTCCACTCGCCATTCGCCAATCGTCCGCATGTTCATAGAAGTCCATACTAACAGCTGTTCTAACTAGACAGTGCTGGTCGGGTGCTATTTGGCGCTAATGAGCGATGACCTCTATGCAAAATACCTTACGTACATACTGAATAATATAATATATCAAGGACGTTGCCAAGATGGGGGGGCAATTACCTATTATATTGCCCCCACCCCCTAGTCATAAGCTGGCGACACCCACGTAATATATATTTTTTGTACACAATAGTTATCTTTTCGAATGCCTAGATAAGGTTCTACTAAAACTACTAGAATGCTAGAAAGTCTAGAATAGTTATAATTTTATGGGATATTAATGATGCTGATGATTTATTGATGATAAAGTCCTGTAAAATAAGTATAATCGTATGAACAAATTAAGATCAAGTATAAAGATAGATATAAGATCAAGGAAATATTTTTCAATAATAATGTTTTTGTGCTCCTTACAACGATATTAAATACCCTATAACAACAACACGAACAAAATCGTGTCCGAAACCTGTTTAAAAGGTACATTGGACGATCCACGGAGCTTCGTAAGATGATCGCATACAAAAAACAATAAAAGGCATTATTTAAACATTGAAAGTCACCTTTAATGTATACTGTATAAGGTCTTAATTAAACGAAAGCATCAAATAGTTAAACAGTTAGAAATGCAAGCTCGTAAAAATTTACGACTTATTGCTATGCGGCGGAGTATAGACTTTAATTCTTTGAATCTACGCGCAATCCTGAATGCTCTGTTAGTAATATAGCAAATACGGATTGCGAGGAAAAGATATATTACTGACCATGCATTTGAATATCACAAATATTTTCTATTAAATCAGGTTATAGTATGTATTAGAACAAAATTTGCTTCAAATGCGTCAAATAAACAAACATTGATTAGACCTGCCGAAAAAACGACAGTTTACGTACTATAGGTAAGTATTTTTTGCATTTTTGCACGGAACTCTGCGGTATCTTGACTTTTCAACTGTCCGCGCGTGACTGTGAACCAAGAAGTGCTTGTTGAACCAAGAAGTGGTGTTCAAGCACTTCTTGATTGGGATTGGGACGAATTTTGAGCGTACGTGGTGTAACTAGGGTATTAATATCGTTAGCTCATTATTATTCAAATTAATATATTAATAAAAGTGTTCTCTTATAATTTATCTGGTTTTTCTACCTTGATCTGAATCGTTTCCTCGTCGGTCGACCGCGTCGGGGCGATCTTGGTAGACGTTTTCTGCCCTTTTTCCCTTTCCTCCCGTTCTTCGGAGGCGCAGTAATATTGGCAGGAGCTGGCTGGTCATCTACCAGGATCACGACGGGTGCAGCGGTCGTAGATTCGGGTACAGATATCGTTGTAGGTTCTAATGTCGTCGTTGTCTCCGCTTCCAAAAAGTCTTCGATTTTACCATCTCTGACATCTATCTCGTGGGCATCCAAAAACTGTTTGGCAAATCTGAAAATAGGACTTTAGGATATTTTTCGCAATTTACGCAATAAACGCAAATTTTTGAGTGCACATAATAGTACTTTCATGTTTGTAAGATACTTGTTTTTGAATTCACTTTCAAAAACAAGTATCTTACAAACATTCTGTAGGTAGTGACGCAGTTTTTTTTATTGATTTAAACTTTATTGCCAAACATAAGCATACAGCAGGGATCATGCCATTGGCATTCTCAGCCTGCCAGTCAACCAGTAAGAGTTTTGGAGACAAAAGGTATGGCAATTCAGTTTCATGACGCATCAATTAGTTGAATATCCATACAGTAGCGTGCTTGCCTATAAATCACTTGTTAATTTCGGACGCGAGTAAGTGTAAGTCAACCGTAATCTCTGTATGCCAAACGGGACAATGTGCAATACGAATGTGACTCATTGGTCATGGAAATACCTACGTATTATCTCTAAGTAGTCTGTGACAGAAATCGGATATAATAAAAGTACTACAACACGAAATACCTACATTGCTTATATGGCTCTTTATGAAATATAACGATTTTTATATTTCAACGGGAATAGAGTCCGAGACGAGTCCGCAGAGGTAAAGAACAATTATTCCAGAAATCCCCACTGGTGGAGATTTCACATTTTATCCAGAAATCGCGACTGACCTTGTAAAGAAAGCGTAGTGCAGGCAACTAACCTTTTAGATATTTATATCTAAAGAAAATTGTTTACTAGAAAAAAAAATCCTCCTACTCGGTTCCGCTGTTGTCTTCCGTAAGGTGGAGGTAGGGTTACTAACATTTTTTCTATCAAATATAGTATTTTAGAAGCTGTTCCTTCTAAAAATATAGAAGATGACAAAAAAATAGCATGTGGTTAAAATATTTATTTTATTTTTGAAATGTGTAATATAGAAAATGTGTAATATGCCATACGCCATTAACATGGAATTGGAGAGTGTTGATTGGAGGAGTGTGCTGAAGTCGGGCACTGTCGATGAGGCGGTCAACGGATTTTACTCAATTTTAAACGATGTTATAGTGTTCGGTGCTACGCAAACGAACAGCGCAGCAATTTGCAATTCAGCAAGTTGCACTTTATACATAAAATATGGAAATAATTTTAGTACGTAATTAGCTACCATTAACGCGACGCGTGCTCAATACCAATCATAACCATTTTCGTATTTATATTATATTTTACTATTTTACATTTGTGAGTTTAATTAATATACAGTTTTACATGGACTTTGGAGTTATTCTTTTCTTACCATACAAGCAAAGGGATCTGGACGCTACCCATCGAGCGGACAGACAAAAACCTTCTCATGGTCCTTCGAGAAATCAGGACTTCGGTTCGCGAGTGACTTCTTGAAGTCGAGGACTTAACCAGTAACCAGTGACTATTGAATACAGTGACAATAAAATTTTAACAGTTAACCACAGGATTGCAGTGATTTAAAAACAAATCTTCTGTAAGCAGAGTAAGGCGTAAATAAGGTCAGATCTTACCATTTTATTTATATTTTTACCAGTTTTACTTAACAACCATGGAGAATCTTTTTGCTAGCCAAACTGAAATCTTCGAGACTCTAGGCAAGCTCTTAACTAATATCAAGAAGAATGGAGCCGATAGGAAAACCAGGGAGTATTGTAAACGGAAGTTGGATATACTCGAGAATTATTGGAGTGAATACCACAGAAACCATACTAAGATGTGCGAACTTGCGGTACAACATTGTTTCGATACAGCGGAAGAGCTTTATTTGACCATTAAGAATATTATTAGCGGAATTTAAGAGCATTTAACTCATCAGCAGCAACCAGGTAAATCAGACGAGCAGATCCAGCTAGATGGTACACCCGCGCCGGGTTACCGTCAACCGGACCAAACGCCGGGTTACCGGCAACCAGAACAAGCACCGGCTTACCGTCAAACGGACCAAGCGCCGGGTTACCGCCATCCAGACCAAGCTCAAAGGTCTAGTGGAAACACTAAGTTCGACGAAATGATCAAGAAGCAAAATATTAATTTCAAAGCATTTATGCGTACGGTAAGTTCAATAGATATAGAAATCTTGCAAAATCGTTGGGAATTTGAGGATGCTCTGAGATCACTTCAGACTCGATGGAGTACAGTCGACAGCTTGCATTGGGAGATAGAAGGTGAGGCTGACGGAGATGAGTCTATCTACCAGGCGCAATTTACCAGGTACGAAAAAATACTTAATGATTTGAAGAAAACCATAAATACCAAGATGTGGTCTGTATCGCATCGGGAAAAGTCGACACCGCAAATGGATATTCCGACATATAGCGGTAACTATCACCATTGGATTTCATTTAAAGATTTGTTTAATGAAACCATACATAAAAATCCGTCATTAAATAACGCTCAGAAAATGCAGTTTGTAAAAGTAAAGTCACGGGGGAGGCGGAGCGCCTCATTCACCATCTTCAAATAAGCTCGGATAATTACGAAGTGTGTTGGGAATTACTAAACCATCGTTGCGGGAACAAACGGCTCATATTTACATCGCATCTCAACACTTTATTAGGCCTTCCGAATATTCAACAACAATCCTTAAATATGATAAAAAAGTTGCATGACGTATCAAAAGAATGTTTGCATGCGATCCATTTAGGATTAGACATAACCAGTTGGGATCCGCTGTTAGTACATTTGCTAGCCCAAAAACTCGATAGCGAATCGTTTTCTGAATATATGGATTTTGTGAAAAAACCACGAGAGTTGCCTAACCTCCAAGAATTTTTTGATTATTTAAAGAGCAAATTTACAACATTGGAGGCCTCAAAACGTAAACAAGAACCAAATAGTCAAAAAGTAACCATACATAACCATAACCAACCGATGCATCAAAATTTTTCATCTAACCAAAAGTATTATAATAATCATAATTATAACACACAGAAAAGTCATTCAAATAATGCTAAAACCGTGAAAACATTCCATGTAGCGCGGACAATTTCCTGTGCATTGTGTAATGCTGAACACGGATTATGGCAATGTAGCAAATTTTTGCAAATGTCTGACGAGCAAAAACTAAAGTCCGTTAACCAGCTGAATTGTTGTCATAATTGCTTAATTAACCATTTAAATAAATCATGTTTTTCCACTAAGCGATGTCGTAAGTGCCTAAGCAACCATAATTCGCTATTACACGAGGCATTGATCAAACAACAATTGAATATGTCAGCGAAATCGAGCTCGAACTTAAAACGGAATGTGTCCAATTCTATTAATAAAGATCGTGTATCAACCTCTAGTCATGTATCCTGGGATGATTTATCTGAGATTCTTTTGGCTACTGCACTGGTCAAAGTAACGGGATCAGACGGGAGTCAGCATACCATGAGAGCACTAATTGACCAAGGCTCTCAGATTTCTCTTATAAGTGAGCAATCGGCGCAGCTTTTAGGATTAAAAAGAAACCATTGCAAAGGAAAAAATTATGGTGTCGGCGAAAAGGAGAATAATTGCAAAGGAATAATAAATATTAAAATTCAATCTATGTTTAACGATTTTCATATGAACACCAACGTTATCATTATGAATAACTTGATAAAAAGCTTACCAAATAAAACTTTTATCAAACCATCTTGGTCGCACATACGAAATATAAGTTTAGCCGATCCACAGTTTAATACTAGTCGACCAGTAGACTTACTTCTTGGAGCAGACATTTATAGTAAGACTAGCTGTTACCCGCGGCTACGCTCGCGTGGTTTCCCTATTCGAGGCTATCATCCTCTTTTGACATAGTGAGTAAAAAAGTAGCTTATTTCTATTAAAATTACGGCGCCTTTCTGCTTGAAGCCGTACATTTAAATCTCTGCGCGCCTGTGCTTGTTCAGGTGTTTCGAATGACCTCAAAAAAGCTTGTCGTTGAGCTTGCTCATCAAGTCTTTGCTGAGTTTCAGCAGGTGTTTCTGCAGCTCTTAAAGCACTTTGACTCCCCGCTTGTAGTCTTTGTTGAGACTGAACATCCGATTCAGCGGCTCTCAAATGAGCCTGCCGCTCTGTCTGCTCCTGGAGTCTTCTCTGTGTCTGCGACAGTGATTCTAAGGCCCTCAAATTCGCTTGACCTTCAGACTGTTCAAGACGCCTTTCCTGTGTCTGCGATTGAGATTCTGAGGCCCTCAAAGCAGTTTGGCGATCTGCCTGTTCTTGCCTTCTCAGTTCAATTTCTTCAAGAGATTCTTGCGACCTAGTTAATCTCTTTGCTCGTGCTTGAGAGGATACTCTATAAAGGCTAGATTTGCGTTTGCGCGTCATTATTACGGTGAAGGTAAGTATCTGAAATATTTTTTTTTATTAAAAAAAATTACCTATTTTAATTACAACAGTATAAAAATGTTTTGTAAGCACCTACTCAACTTGTTTATAGTAGGTAGGTATTTAAAATCCAAAAAAATTGCGAATAATTATCCATTCACCTATTTTCACAAAAACCCAAGATCAATGTGTTAAGTTAATCGTCAAAACGATTGCTTTTTAATATTCCTTTTTGATTTTTTTTAATTAATTTATTTTTATTTAATTATTATTATTTTAATAACAGATACTTAACATATATTATGTAGGTATGTAGATAGGTAATTCGTATGCCGAAATAGTATGCGCACTTAGTAGATAATGTAGGTAGGTACCAATCAAGGTAGGTTACCTATCTACAAAGGTATCTAGCAAATAGGCAGCCCTTCTTTCAGAGCAACAAAACCAATCAAAAACTACAATACCATATTATTACAAAAACCAATACCTACCTATGCGTTGTCTATCTTACTGGTAAAAATCGAGGTAGGTAGGTTATAATATAATAATCGTAATTTTTATCAGTGAGCCAAATTTATACATTCGAAGAAACTATCAAAATACCTACCTAATTCATTTAATGCACAACAAAACCAAATCACAAAGGAAAACAAAAACAGATATGTAGGTAGGCAGGTACCTTGGTAAATCGTATTTCTTTAAAATCAATCA